GTTTCAGCAAGTCATGTTCTTCTTAACATGAAGTTTCGTTTGACTTTAGTGAGTTTTCTCTAGCTAAGGTTGTTGACATATCTTGCACTTAGATTTTTGGTGACATTTGAAATATAGCTACTAAGCACGTGGTCTATTTGCATCAGTACCATTTGTTTTATTTTTATTCCCTCTGTGATCTTTGCTGTGTTTTTATTTTTAATTATTATTATGATGGCACTACTGCTTGCATTTTCTGAAAAATGTGTAATTCAGGGTGGGACAACAGTGTGCTGCAAAAGAAAAGTTGGAACCAGCTTCTTGTGTATGTGAAATAGCAAGACCTCCAAGTGTGATGGCCGATGTACTCTGTATTCGTAGGAGGGACAATAAAATGGAAGACGACACTATGTTTGAGTCCATGCTTCCGGTTTGTTAATACTCTGCTTTTGTCTCTCCTTCACCCCTCCCTCTGTTACCTGTTTGTCTGGTACCAAGAATATCCGCAGGATCTCCTGTTCTGCAGTAAAATTGGTGAATTAAGACCATATTCTGAATAACAAGCCTTTTCTTTATACATTTGTTCAATTTGTCCTTAGCAGCATTATACACGAGTCCCATTAATACACACTTTCTTAGTGTTGGATCCAGGAATATTTTTCCATAGTGTTTAGCTCCCAACTCTGCATTAAAACAAACGTTGTTTATATGTAGTTTGCAGATTATGTTTGATAATGGAGAGTGCAGTGAGTTCTAAAACATTGTAAGCAGCTTATGTGTGTTTTTATATCATAGCAGTAACGTGGCTTTAACAGTCACGAGTGTAGCGAGAGTAGGATTCAAATTGGTGACACTTGTATTGATAACACTGGGACTGGTTGTGAGGTACTGCTGTAGTTTACCCCATCCTAAGCAGACGGTAACGGTGTCAAATATCCATCTAAGGGGAATGGCAGATGGGAAGCTGGTGGAGGAGCTGCATAGTTTGATCGAGAGAGCTCGCATTAACTCCTGCACCCCCAAAGCAATGGGTTGGTGGACCGCATCAACGGCACTTTCACCACCAGCTTGTTATCTTGGCCAAGCAGCACCACATAGTCACCTGTGGATTTAGTGTTTTGGGTGCTACCAGAGGCCTTTTTTTTTACTTTTATGACTTCTGTGTAGTCCTGAAGTGTGTTGCTTTTGAATTTGACAGGGTGGAGGCGTTTCTGTTCCCAACGTGGACGATCCCGAGGCTTTTCCGGCCCTGGCTTGAACCTCAGCTCCGCCACCTAACCTTCCTCCAGGCTCCCCTCCTCTTTGACGCTTGCATGCTTATGGATCGTCCGAAAATAGAAATACATGAGACTGTCATCCATAAACAATTCTGACTGAATATTTTTGTGTTTACCGACTAAGTATGAACCACTTCATCTCCACGCCATGTAAATAAATACATTTAAAGCGACCCACGTATATTTAGGCGGTCACTCGCAGATACACTGAGACTGACTTGTACCTGTGGGAAACACAAAAAGGACCAGAGGTGCAGCAAAAATTGGGACTGTGTAATTTTGCCCTTCTTCAGGTTTCCAACTCCCAGCATGCACTACAGGACCCAGCACACCTAGTTGTACATTGTTGTTAAAAACATCAGATGCTGAAGATACTGTCCTTTTGGAAATAACAAAGTACAACGACAGAATTCACTTTAATGAATCTGTTTGAGATCGAATTAATGCTAGATTTTTTGCTATAAATTACGGACATGGCATCTGAGAACTAATTCTCATTTTTCTTAGTCATTTTGCTTTATTTCCAGATTCATCCATAGGCACGTTCTTACGTACTAGAGCATGTTCGCACATGTGCACTCTTCAAAAACTGCTTAAAATCTCTTGACAAACTAAGACGTAAATGACATTTTTTATATAAGATATGGATTGTGCTGAATTTCAACTTGCTTAATTTGCTTGAGATAAGGATTTATTGAGTCCACATGTCATGCAAACAAGAAACTGCTTCTAACCGCAGGTCGAGAGCTGTCGCTCCAAACACACAACTTTGTGATGCTGTTTGCGGATGTTCGTTGGATCTGTGGTTTCAGGAAACAGACTCTTTGAACTATAATGATAACGACAGAACTTGCGACCATAGTTGGCTAACGATGGTTTCAGGAAACACACCCCTGGATGGTCAGCCTCATGAAACAGTCGTTGAAAGCAGCAAACACAACCTGCAGGTGTGTTGGCAGTGTCGGCAGCGGAGGAAGTTGTCCGTCTGCAACCTCACTGGTTAAGGGCTACAGACGCTGTTGAACTCTGTTACCAGTTTTTAACTCTGGGTGTTTTATTGGGTGGAGTATGTCGCTGCATTTTAGAGCACAGGACGCCAAGCCTATGAAGACTGGAGGAGGGTCTCTGGAGGCTCAAACAAATTGCCTGGAGATGATGGTGGTATTTCTGACTTTGACTTTCAGACATTTGAGGCTCATGTGGTCATCAGAGCAGACACCATATCGGTTGTCTTGTACGCCAGGGGGGAATGCGATTACGCCCCACATGGAAGTTTCCGGCAGAACTTGCAAGAGTGCGTGAAGACTGTGTGTCTTCTCCTGGTAGCACTGTTTTGGCCTTCCAGCATTTGGTTATCGGATCTGAGTTGTCAAAAGTACCGACTTCGGTACCAAGTCGGTATTGAAATTTAAAAATGTGACGATACCAGCTTTTCCCTCTAGCAGAATCCGTTCAACAGCGCTCAAAATGCTAGAGGGAAATGCTGGCATCGTCACATTTTTAAATTTCAATACCGACTTGGTACCGAAGTCGGTACTTTTTGACAGCTCTACTCGGATCAGGTGCCAGTTTTCATTAGGAGATCCCAATCAGAGTAGATCTACTTTCCCAGGCTCGGGGCTCCGTGTGGCTTCCCTGGCCAGAAAACTTTTGGTTTTGGTCCTCTGACTATTTCTAGTTACAGCATCCATTTTGAATGTAAGAGCTCCTCCTACTCCTCCTTACTATGCTTTAAGCACTTTCCCCGCCATTTTTCAAGTTTTTCCGGCTTTCGTGTTTTCACTGTTATACGGTAGGATCCACTGCTACAGATCTTTTGAAAGAGTGCAGCATTCAAAACCAATTGAAGAAGATGAACTGCATAAACCAGGAGCGCACAGAAGAACGTGATCATCAAACATTCAACAGCACACATAAATCATAACTACCTAACGAAATGTCGAACCCACAAAGCAGTGTAAGAGATGTGCAAGCTTTGGGGGTGTTGATGAACTCGATAAACTCATCATTCTGAATCTGAGCCAGACAAAGAGTTAAACAAAAATGCGATTTTCTTAAGAGTTTTGCTCAAAATGTTTTATTAATGACACTTTCCACATGTTGATTAAAAAAATATTCTAACTTTATTCATTCTTTTTAAAGCAAAGGCTCTGTTCTTTCTTTTGATATAGTGACATATTCTTAAATATTCTTGGGTCCATGAAAGTTTTATGAATATGATTAAAAAAAAAGTAAAAGTTATCAGCATTTTTTTAAAGTTAAGTCATGGTGCAGAGAGTGCAATTTTGGACATGGTTCACTGCCCTGTTGATTCAGTGCTGGCATTCCTTTCAGTGTTTCTCTGCGGGCCACACTTTAGGAGTATGTGGCGCTGATTGCAGCTGAACACACCAGGTGATGGAGCTTCTTACTTGAGATTTGCAGCCTTGCTTCTATTTTTGGGAAGAAGGAAGAATCTGGGCTGAATCTGGGCACCGAATGAGCCACCATGCTGTCAGGTCGCTGGAAATGTCAGCTTGACGTCATTCGTCTTTGCGTGGTTACATCTCATCCGTAAACAGAAGGATGACCTGGCTACTATATGCCATAATCTGAAGATTCATTTGCTTTGAATTTAACCTTGTCATCTAGATGGCTGCTTTTATATCTGGAAAGGTCTTAACAGCAATCATCGTTGACTTCTGGTGAATCACCTGTTGCCAAAACCAAGAAACCTCAAACTACGGAGAGCCTTGCAGTCAAAAAGGGAAAGCGACTAGCGCCAAGCTTTGGTTGCAACTTTGTTCAACTGCAGCCTGCAAGGAGAGATTCTTGGGTCTCCAGAGACACTTTATTTTTTAAAGCTGCCCATTTTTTATACAATTAATTTGTTCGTCAGATAAAGGCTCAAGAAAGATTCTGTCAGAGTTCTTCTGTGCTCTAAATCACTCACAAATCTTGACAGTTTTATCATCTCTATGCAACATAGTTCTGCAAGACTGCATTATTTCATGCTTTTCATCTTCAGAAAGATCTTTCTTCCTCCCTATATTGCATGAGAAATGTGACTTGCTTAATAATGTGGAACAACCTTTTTAAGTAGGTTTTCCATTTATCTAAGGAGACCTGGAAAACTATTCAACAAACTTGTCTGAGATTAATACCAGTTATCTAAACAAGATATGAGAAATAAAACAAACTAAAATCTGAATGTTTATTTTACTTAAATCCTGATGTCACTTGCATAATAATTTGAAACAGTATAAACCAATATCTGCTAATTGTTTTTGAGTATTTTATTTTGCTTGTGTTTATATATTTTTTGTATTACTGATTAAGTGCTCACTGACCAGCTTTGACCATTCCAACATGGGGGACGGCTTATGGCGGCCCATAGAAACGGTCACTAATGAGGCATCTGTGTATACATAGATTATGGTAGTGTAGTTTTTCATCAAGAAACATGAATTTTAAAGGCTTGAAGAAGTTTAAACCAACAGTACAACTTCTGTATCAAATGCACGTTTTGCTTTTCATATGCTGGTTGTTTGAGCATCCGGGTCAACCTACACAGCAAGACTGGCTCCACCAATGGTGTGAGTTTGGGGCGGGAATATGTGTTTCCCAAGTTCATAAATGAAACACTTTAATAACAAACTATAAAAAAAAAAACACTTAGTTTAGGCAGAAAAAAAAATATATATATATATTTTTTTATCTTCAACCACCAGATAAGTGCTTGTGCTCTACTGTTGAATCTCATTTGTATTAACATGAGTGTTTTAAATTCTGACAATACAGACATTTAAAGAGTTATTCCTAAAATGATTAAATCACAAGTAATGACAACATTAACAGAACATGTTCATTGCAGAGAGATGTTAGCACATTTTGAACCTGGGCTGGCGGAATGAAGGTTTCGCTCCAGGATCTTAAGGATGTTTTCTACCAGACACTTCACGTCACTGTGGGTGTCTGGATGGGTGCTCAGGACTCTCAGTAGGTCTGTTCCTCCCTCCGTCTGGAGCATACTGCAGTACTGAGGGGCTACAACAGGAGAACAAGAGATCAAAATTTCACCACTAAGAAAGATGACATTTATTCAGGACATGCTCAGTAAGGTTCTCAAAGTGTATAGGCACTCCCCTATTCCAAAACCATACAACATACACGCATACATCATACAACCACATCACATGGGCTACTACCAACCCTAGCGGGCACATAAGTGCTAGTGTGTGTTAATCGGAATGACCATGCTGAATCGTCTTTTTATTTATTCATTTATTTCCTATCTGAAGCTATAGCAGCAACATTAGCTATGTTTCCATCCTAACTTGCGAATTTAACTTTTGCACATAATTGGAATGTCACATAAAACATTTGTGAATAAAGTAGTGTTTCCATCCCATCAAAATCACCACTTTATGAAAAATTGCCACAAATGATCTGTAATAAAAAATGTTGTACATCATAAATGACTTGCGTCTTAGAGCGTGCAGACGAAATGCTGTCATGTTCTTTTGCATTCGGATTTCCTTCCCTCGGCGTGAGGACGCACCTTTCCCGAGGGTGGGCGTACTGCTGGCAGGATTATGTTCTGTTTATTGTATTTGGTTCTGTCATTCTAAGTTGTCCTAATTTCCATGTCTGTTTCATTCTGTTCACCTGTTGTTAATTAATTAACTCATTAGTTACCTCGTTTAGTCGGAGTATTTATACTCCCTGTGTTTTCAGTTCTTTGTCCGATCTTGTCTGTTTAGTGGTTGTGTTTTCTATGTTTATCTCCTGATTTTCCTTGTGGATCTAAAATAAAGACTATTGGTTTGTTTCTCTTTCGCTGTGCACTCATTACAGCCACCGTTACGTGACAAAGAGCTTCTGAGTGTCTAAACTCACACGGTGTACGCCCAGCCTTAGGTACACTTATTGCAGATAATTGACTTTACTTTTAATTCGGATTCCTTAAATTGGAATTACAAAGATACCTCCAATTTCCAACATCAATTGAAATTTTAAAGGAATTCCGGTTCAGTTTTGAACGGAGCCTGGTAAGGAAAAAGACTTTGTGTAAATGTACTCTGAAATGGTCTAAATGTGTATAATGGGCCAGTAGTGAATGTCGCTATAATCAAACTAAACTACATTAAACCATTATCTTTTCTTTGTTTTCCTTTTTTTTTTAAACTTAGTTCTGTGAAAAGCAAGGGATTTCAGGGATTTGCTGTGTATCTCAATGAACTTGCCGTTTATTAGTCTCTCGGGCTTTTTTCTTACCGTTCTGAGAGCAGACAAATTGAATGGCCCAGAGAGCCCACAGCTGAACACCAGAACACTGAGAGATGTGTAGCAAAGGGTAGAAGGGCTGGAGCGTCCTGGAAGACAGAGCGAAAGAAAGACATCAAAAGTAGGGGTGTGCAAAAAAATCGATTCACATTTGAATCGCGATTCAATCTTTACCGATTCAGAATCGATTCATAGAATTCCAAAAATCGATTCATATTTTTTTTTTTTTTTTTTTATGGCGTGCACGGGCGGAGTGGCAATCGGGTGAGTCGGGACTTTTACCGGTGGTTCGGTAGTGTTTCGAGGCTGCGAGGGCCGGTCTGATAAATAGTTACATTGCAAGTTCTTGCCGCCCGCTGGTCAAACTGTGCAGCCTCTCTGCTCAACCCGTGAATAAATGCATCGATCCGCTGCATGTTTGAGTTCTTAATGGTCTGTAGATCTTTTGCCAAGCGTGTCAGAGGTTACGGGTTCTAAACCGCACTCGTATAGTTTTTTCTCTCTCTCATCAAAACCGAATATGTTCATCACGTTTGTGTGCATTTTATTTTGAGATTTCACCAGAACCACAACGGCGATATGAAGCGCGCGTCCGAGTGAAGACAGCGCGAGCCACAGAGAACACTGTATCCATGACACTGATAGCAGCGGCAACGAGCGCTCAGCTTGATTTCAAAAACAACAGATCTCTTATTTAATAGCGAACTAAATAAATGCTCTGCTAGTTAACTGGAGATACCCGCAAATTACGCCTATGAACGACTTCACTGGATCTAAAGAAATCAATCTAACCATAGATGTTACCAGTAGCGGTGGCTTTTTAAAATCTATTTAAAATTATTTCGCAAGGGTTCTATGACATTAGTATATTTTTAGGAAGTTCAATGTGCCCAGTCGAGTTCACATTTCAACAGTCAGCCTGCTGAAGTAGTCCTTAAACCACATTTAGCATAATTGTTTGTTTGATCTGACTACAGCACTTTAAAGCTAAATGTAAAAGCTTTTTATTTAAGTTTTATTTTAAACTTGAATTAAATGTATTTGAAAGCTGGCCAAAGCTTGGCACTTTGCACTTTTTAGTTGCAAAAGTTTTTATTTTTGTTTGAAGACAAAGTAATATCAAACTACATTTAATTTGTTGTGTTTTTCTTTTCTTTTAAATTGTGTCTACTGCAATCAATCACATAGGAAAAAGTAAACTACATTTATATACTGCGAATCGTTTTTTGAATCGAGAATCGTTTTTGAATCGAAAATCGATTTTGAATCGAATCTTGAGACAAAAAATCGGTATCGAATCGAATCGTGACATTTTCTGAATCGTGCACCCCTAATCAAAAGCTTTCTGTGCCTCTGCAATGTTAAATTAACAGTTCCATTACAAATTTGTATGATTGTGTTGAATTTTGAAAACTGTTCCTAGACTGTTTTCCATTTAAATACGATAAACAGTGTGGAAACAAGTGACCAGCTCATTCTTTGGATTTTCTCCTCCTTTCTTCAGGACAAAGTCTTTCTTGTTTGAAAGAAATAGAAAAGAAGATTTTAATTAATAGATGGTTGGGTGAATTTAACACAATGGCTGCACATCACGACTCACTAATAATAAAAATGGCTTGCTGATTATTTTTCAAGTGCATCTATTGTTTTGGTGAAAAACAACTTGATATTTAAAGGGATAGTTAATTTAAAAAATAGTAATACATACAGGGTTGGAATGACAAGAGAGTGAGTAAATGAAGACAGAATTTAAATTTTTGGCCAAACTATCCCATAATTGTACATGTAAATGGTGACTTCAGCCGTTGTTCTCCTGTGCACCATTTAGCGCTACACACTCCAGTCCAGTAGGTGGCGTGAGTAAATGATGGCAGAATTTACTACTACTTGCCAGTAAAGTTTCTTATAATATACAGTTGTATGCTTCTGATCAAAAAGCTTGCAATGGCTGTATATCATGGCTTTAATTAATGTGAAAGTAAGCAAAAAATTGCAGCTCTGGTTATTTTTCAAGGGCTTTAATAGTTTTGGTGAAAATCTTTGGTCACGTCATAATTCCCATATTTCCATTTGTGTAATATTATAGTTACACTATGTCTGAAATTTTATACATAATAATAATAATGATAATAATAATATGGAATGATTAGGCGTGTCCTGTCCTTTGACTGATTATTGTATAATATTACATAAATACAGAATAATCAATAAAAAAGTAAATATTAGAACACTTACCGGTAGGAAACCATTGCATGGTCAGGAGAACTCCATGATAGGATAGAGGAGTGCTAAAAGTGAGAGATTTAAGGTACAGAGTTGAGGATATAAAAAAACATACATTTGAACTAATGCGCACACACACACACGGTTTACAGGGACTCTCCATAGGCGTAATAGTTTTTATGCTGTACAAACTGTATATTCTATCCCCTAACCCTAAACCTACCCATCAAAGAAAACTTTCTACATTTTTTTTTTATTTCTACATGTTTTTTAAGCCAGTTGGTTTACGAGGACACAGGAAGTGTCATTATACACATTTCCATCCTCATAAACCATATATCCACAAGAACACACACACACACCAGTTTCTCCTGCACTGTGCAGTGCAGCTCAGCATCCAGACCCCACTCAGGCCCCCTGACTGAGGTGAGATGTGCCAGGATCCCTCCAGCAAAGTAACGGACATCCACCTCCATCTCTGGGTTGATTAAGAGTGAGAGAATGTGCTCCACCAGGTCCTCATCCATCAGCTCCGTCCGCAGCTCCTCCACCTCTGCTATATTATTCTGGAGCACAGAGGAGATTCGCTGATATCAATGTTGAGCAAGCTATTCGTCATTTGAAGTAGATACGCTTCTAGAACAGAATATAAAACCCACACGATTCCACATGGTGAAGGTTGAATAAGGACATGATCTGATTTTCCTTGCAGGATAACAAACTGCATGAAGATTTCTAAGATTTCAAGGAGTCCAACGAGTCCAAAGTTGATTTCATCACCATTAGTTCATGCATTAGGTATCATCAACTAACAACGAACAATTGCATTAGTCTAGGTTAATGTTCATTTATAAATATACTGTTCATTGTTTAAGGGATAGTTTACCCAAAAATTAAAATTCTGTCATCATTTTCTCACCCTCAAGTTGTTCCAAACCTGTATGATTTTTTTTACTTCTGCTGAACACAAGAAGATATTTTGTCTGTAACCAAACAGTTGATGGGCCCCATTGACTTCCTGACTGAAAGACACACAGGCTGAATCCGAAATCGCCCCATATATCCTCAATTAGGGCGTTATTTGAGGGGAAAGCCATTTGTAGTGTTGTCCGAATCCATAGTGGACGTTATTGAGTGCACTTATTCAATCCCACATTGCACTGCAATAACGAGTGTACTGTACAACCGATGTACGCTCAACGGCTGTCCGAATTCGTTCACTCCTCTTCATTCACTCCTTCAAGTGAACAGTATTAGTGGACTAACATAGGGAATAGTGAATGAGGGTTTAAGCAATCGATATCCATAATAAAGGCTAGATGTCTTACGGCGGAGTCTCTATCGTCATCACTGGCGGCCATCTTGTCACAGGCAAGCTTTCTGGCGGGCTCTGTGGTGCCTGATGTAAGATGAGTGATCAGCACGAACACAAATACTCTTATCTCGTTGAAATCTTGACGGAATTACAAACGGTTTGGTTTCTTACAAACGTTATTAACGTGGCTATAATTCTGGATGATTATTTATTTATACACTTATTATTCATAAGTGTGCAGTGTCATAACTGAAAATTGAGCAAGTTATGGTTATTTAAAAAGTACATGCTCTATCAAAACACAATGTTACGAGTGAGCGAGCTGCCTGTGACAAGATGGCCACCAGGTGTGGACGTCGACTTCCATTGGCCAGCAGCGCGGACGAGACATCTAGCCTTTATTATGGATATCTATGGGTTTAAGGGGCGATTTCAGGTTCAGCCGGGTTAACAAGGTAATGATGCACAGGTGGATGCAATCACACAATATTGAGTCCAGGCAAAGGTTTATGGGAAACGTAGTTTGTGAAGCAATGGTAAAGGACTAGGAAGGATTGCCCTCTGGTGGAGATTAAGGGCACTTCAGCTGGTGGATATGATGCTTTCATAGTATAGAAAAAAATACTATGGAAGTCAATGGGGTCCATCAACTGTTTGGTTACCGACATTCTTCAAAATATCTTCTTTTGTCTTCAACAGAAGGAGGAAATTCATACAGGTTTGGGACAACTTAAATTCTTTGTGTGAACTATCCCTTTAAGTCATGTTTGAATCATAATACATTAACTAGTGTTTTCAATTGAACACCTATACATTTTAAAATGTATTTGTAAATGTAAAAATTATCATTAACTTTTTACTTTTCATTGTTACCTAATGATAATGTATAGAACCTTAATTTAAAGTGTAAACCAGCCAGAAATTTCGAGAATGGATAAAAAATCCTTCACAGGAGTTTGAATCAAAATCTCCCACTAAGAGATACAGAGGAAAGCATATCGAATACCATTTACTTACACTATCAACAAGCAGCCAACGCTATAATATTAACATACTATACATTTAAACCAAATCATATTAAAGCCTCTTCACATTTATGCATTTCTGAACATTTTTAAAATTACTTCAAGAATATTAACTACAATAAAAAAGTAAAAATCATATTGTGAATAGTTTATGGTAGTTTATTTGTTACAAAATATTATTCCTAATAAAAAAAAAAAATGTATTCCTAATATTCTCTTTTGAGTTAATTTAGATTCTTGCGTGACCAAAAGTGATCATGTCAGAGTGGGTGAGTTGTTTGCTTTGTAATTAATCCATTCACTTCCAACTATTTTTACATGACATATACAATATATTTACCAAAAGGCCCAGGAGCTTCTGCTGGATGGAGAACTCGGAATAATACGACTGTGGAGGAGAGGAGAGAGTGATGAGAAGATACAGAAAATTAAAGGGATACTCCACCCAAAAATGGAAAAATTCTGTCATCATTTACTCACCCTCAAGTTGTTGCAAACCTGTATGAGTTTCTTTCTTCTGCTGAACACAAAGGAAGATATTTTGAAGAACGATTGGAACCAAACAGTTGTTTGGCACCATTGATTTCCATTGTAGAAAAAAAAATACTATGGAAGTCAATGGTGCCAAAGTTCCAATCGTTCTTCAAAATATCTTGTGTTCAGCAGAAGAAAGAAACTCATACAGGTTTGCAACAACTTGAGGGTGAGTAAATGATGACAGAATTTTCATTTTTGGGTGGAGTATCCCTTTAACAACCATTTAAAAGCCATTTTTCTCCCAAAAATTAAAATTATTTTACTCATAATTAACTCAAACTTATGTCATTCCAAAACTGTTTTAATTTCTGTATTCTGTGGAACACAAAAATAAGATATTTTGAGAAATGTCTCCGTGATTTTTTGTCGATAGAATGGAAGTCAATGGTAACAAAAATGGTTTGGTCATCAACATTATTTAAAGCATCTTCTTTTGTGTCTCACAGAAGAAAGAAAGTCATACTAGTTTGAATTGGATCAGCAAGAGGGTGAGAGAATGGTCACAGGTTTATTTTTGGGAGAAGTATTACTAAGTTCAAGAATCTATGTCATTGTTGTAAACAACTTGTTATGATATCAATCTATAATCTGACTTGTGATGCAGCCTGTAATTAAACCACACCATGTTCGTTCATTTGGCGAGAGGAGAACTGGCCCCCGACTGAGCCTGGTTTCTCCCAAGGTTTTTTCTCCATTTCTCTCAACGATGGAGTCTAGGATCCTTGCCACTGTTGCCTAGAGTTTTCCGTTTCCCCACTGGTCCCACCCCCCCAGCCTAGAGTTTTCCGTTTCCCCACTGGTCCCACCCCCCCAGCCTAGAGTTTTCCGTTTCCCCACTGGTCCCCCACCCCCCCCCCCCTAGAGTTTTCCGTTTCCCCACTGGCCCCCCCCTTCAGCCTAGAGTTTTCCGTTTCCCCACTGGTCCCACCCCCCCAACTTAGAGTTTTCCGTTTCCCCACTGGTCCCACCCCCCCAGCCTAGAGTTTTCCGTTTCCCCACTGGTCCCACCCCCCCAGCCAGGAGTTTTCCGTTTCCCCACTGGTCCCACCCCCCCCAGCCTAGAGTTTTCCGTTTCCCCACTGGTCCCACCCCCCCAGCCTGGAGTTTTCTGTTTCCCCACTGGTCCCCCCCCCAGCCTAGAGTTTTCTGTTTCCCCACTGGTCCCACCCAGCCTAGAGTTTTCCGTTTCCCCACTGGTCCCGCCCAGCCTAGAGTTTTCTGTTTCCCCACTGGTCCCACCCAGCCTAGAGTTTTCAGTTTCCCCACTGGTCCCACCCTGCCTAGAGTTTTCTGTTTCCCCACTGGTCACCCCAAGCCTAGAGTTTTCCGTTTCCCCACTGGTTCCCCCCCCCCCCAGCCTAGAGTTTTCCGTTTCCCCACTGGTCCCACCCAGCCTAGAGTTTTCTGTTTCCCCACTGGTCCCACCCTGCCTAGAGTTTTCTGTTTCCCCACTGGTCACCCCAAGCCTAGAGTTTTCCGTTTCCCCACTGGTTCCCCCCCCCCCAGCCTAGAGTTTTCCGTTTCCCCACTGGTCCCACCCAGCCTAGAGTTTTCTGTTTCCCCACTGGTCCCACCCAGCCTAGAGTTTTCTGTTGACTTCAAATGTGTCCAACTGTGCATGTTAGTTGTGCATGAGTGCGTGTCTGTGTACCTCTAGCAATTCCATGTAGAGTTCCAGTCCTTGGCACTGAATGAAATGGCGACAAGCAGTGGGTGTCTCATCTGTCAAGTTCCACAAAGCACTTAATGCAAACTTCAGAGTTGAATCCACTACACCCAGTGAGGCCTTCTGTTGAACGATGCTCAGCAACTGCTGAAGTTCCACAGAAAGGGGAATAAATCTATTGTTTTGGTCTATTCATGTAGTCATCTGTCCATTCAGGCATTTGCAATAGAAGCTTAAGAATTTAGCCATTTACATATACTGTAGTACTTTAGGGGAACAGTATGGTTAGTGTAAAAGACCCCATTAAATGTTCTGAAGAATTTGTCTTTCCTGTGCTGACGTATTTGCTATTGAAACAGAAGGGGTGGGACATATTAAAGGCCTGTCTTTTTTAATAACTAACATCCACAATAACTAACAAATAGCAGACTCGAGAGAGATGGATCAGTAGCCTGGTTAAAACCAGACCATTCTCAGTTGTAACTGAGTTATGGTCTGGCAAAGCGTCATAGACAAATCATTTCCAGAGGGGCATCACCAACGGACGTCTCAGATAGACCTAAAACCAATCAGAGCGATGAAGGAGATGACGTATGCAGAGCGGCGAGTGTTGTTCTTTGCTCGGTTTTTAACAAAAAGGAAACGTTAAAATCGCTTAAAACAGACGCAATAGCTGATTCGAATGAGTGATGTTCGACGGCAGCATCCATATTTGTAATGTAGGCTACAAAATCTGCTTCAAAATCCCAGCGCTGTCGTCATCGTGTAAAGCCCGCCCCAATGTTTCTGATTGGTGCCTCGATTTCGGCAGATTGGAAATGGGCTTGACAGAGCTCTTTGCCAGACTAACTTTCAGAGCAAATCTAAATTTGCCGGAAGTTGTCTGGGTTTTCCCAGGCTAATGGATCAGTGAAAAAACAGTGCTTTATTTGAGCAAATTCCAAACACGGGAGTAATGACAACCCAGCGATGATGAAGCAGGTATTAAACTTCAGTTCTTAGGTTTTGCAAGTGAAGATAGAGATTGTGACTTCAACAGGTGAGTAAATCCACACACACACACACCTTAAGTTGCTGTTAAGCAGACTTAATAGTAATCAAAGTTTTTGTCTTACAGATCTTGAGGAAATGCTGAAGGTAATGCTGGAGAAGACAGAACAGACGCAGGAGCAAGGAGACAGGAACTTAGGAATCGGTAATATTCGCAGGTAGGGAATACAGGTAATATTTGCAGGTAGGGAATACAGGTAATATTCGCAGGTAGGGAATACAGGTAAGTAATCAGTGCAGGTGCAGGTGATGGCTGAGTAAGTACAGATGAGAAAGAGGGATGCTGGAAAATGTAGTGTGCTAAGGTGATTGGGATGGTGGTGGGACTTTGTGACAGCCCAACACACTAGCAGACAGTTGCCATCACAGACAAAGAACATAACCGTGGCATTAACTCTGGGCCTAACTGATTCTGATGTGTTGAGACTATTGGGTTAAGTAGCTCGGAAACCACTGGACTGGACAGCGCTGTAACCATTTGACTTGGCAGCACGGAGATCACCGGACTGGCTAGCGCTGAGACCATTTGATTTGGCAGCACAGAGCATTGGGCTTGAGTGTGCAGAAACCTCTGGAATAAAAATTCCCTCAGGATCCTTATGCTCCTTCTTTGCGGGGCTCAATGTGGTGTTCAAATTGGAGGATGCAGGGGATACTGGTCTGGACTCTTGGTGAAGCTCCGTATTTGGAGCGAATTCTGGAGATTCATGGGCCGGAACGGCTTCGGGAGAAGACTCCTAGACAAGCACAAACTCTGGGGCACACTCGGGCCGGAGCGGAGCTTGGGCTGGAGAGGGCTCTGGGGCGGACTCGTGGGCTGGAGAGGGCTCTGGGGCGGACACGTGGGCTGGAGAGGGCTCTGGGGCGGACTCGTGGGCTGGAGAGGGCTCTGGGGCGGACACGTGGGCTGGAGAGGGCTCTGGGGCGGACTCGTGGGCTGGAGAGGGCTCTGGAACGGACTCGTGGGCTGGAGAGGACCAAGGACTCGTTTTTCCTAACTGGCTCGCTGTAGATGTCACGAAACAGAACACTAAAATGCAGTTGGTTCACGCCTTCTCTTCATCTGACGGTATCCGCTTTGAAATCAACGGACGGTGTCCGCAATCTTCAGCTCCGGTGTGGGAACATTTTGGCTTTAAGCCGAATGAGAGAGGAGAGCTAATTAACGTGAACGAGCCGGTATGTCGACTGTGTTTTAAAACAGTAGCAACAAAAAGAGGCAACACAACAAACTTAAAATCGCACCTAAAACATAACCATCCCACCCAGTTTTTCAACCTGGGAACAACAACTGCAGCTGGAGAGGGGCCTTCTTCCAGACAGTTATCTGTTGCAGATGCCTTTTCCCGACAGTGCAAATATAAACGTGACAGCGCGAAATGGTGCACACGGATAGCGTAACTCGCTATATAGCCAAAGAAATGCAGCCATTATACACGGTCGAAAAACCAGCATTTGTGTGAGACACTTTAAAAGTTTAAATTGACATATTACTTTGTTTTGATCTAGTTCTTGATACCTTGCACTTTTTTGTTACCGAAAGTGTATTTATTTAGGCTACTTGTTTTATTTATTTGGGATATATTTTGTTCACATTTCACAATGTCTAAATATTGAATAGAATAAGAATAAAATGTTCTTTGTAACAGTGTACTTGCATTATTATGCTATTATATTTTCATTATGTAATCAGTGGCATAAAATGGTCTGAAAATTACAATAATATCGTTTATCCCAATTAATTTTGGTGCAATATATCGCACAACAAAATGTAGTTATCGTGACAGCTCTAAACACAGCAGTCATTTTAATGTTCCCAAATCCGAACCGCTGAAGACGCAGTGGCTGAGTTTTGTTTTCGAAGGGAATATTCCCCATGAGCAACGTCAATGCTTTCATGTTTGCCGTTTGCGCGAATCATTTCTCACCAGACTGCTTTATAAAGGAGGAGGGTCAGTATAAAGCTGGTTTTGCTAAGAAGCTGCTCCTGAATAAAGGATCGGTACCAACTATTCGTGTTCCTGCTGAACCTCCAGAAGAACTGAAGTGAGTGTAACGTTTTATTAACCTTTATATTAATATTTATATTAATCTTTGCAAATTGCTAGCTGCTAGCTTCACGATGAATGCGGCTAAGGTTTACACTTAGGGTACATTACGGCATGTTTTCTATGTACGACGTTCTCAATATAATTCATAATCCCCCGTTTATAATGAACAACGTGTTATGGTTATATTGTGTTATTGTGTTACAAACGGTGTACGCACAGAACAGAGGGGCGGAGTGAGCAAAGCTCATTATCATTTAAAGTCATATGCACTGAAACAGCGTGCTGAAAACAGAGCTGTTTTTGACCAGGTAAAATAAGTGTTTTCGTACAATACTAATGATAATTTTTTTAATTAAAGTATATTACAAACTTTTAATTTAGACCCTAATGAATCATATTAGCTTGTACAAAAATGGCATTATATGACCCCTTTAAAACAGCAACAGCAAATAAAGGCACCTGTGAAGGAAAACATTTACCTTCATTATAAATGCCTCTGCACCCAGTTCTGAGATCTCCTCTGTACTCAACTGCAATGAAGTGTGAAAGAGTTAAATTCTCCAGCCTCAAAACCTTTTACACATTAATAATGTCCCAGAGATTAAAATTATTTGATAATGATTTTTGTTCATATAAGCAGATCTCAAAATCTATGGCAATATGTTTTTCAGCGGCGATGGTTCCAAAAGTATTTTTCCCAGTTATTTTTCCCATAGGGATTTTAAAAGTCGCATGACCATATTGTATAACTAATAGACCATTAATTAATGTTTTCCCTCAATAAAGTCTGAATGACTGCTTATTGATAGTATAATAAACAGTCAATAATATGCATGCTAATAAGCAACTTGTTAATAGTGAATGTGTACCTCAATATAAACTATATAAAATAATGCAACAGAATCTGACAGATAGCATCAACAAGCATACCATACCTTGGAGCTCATAACAGGTCTGTCTTTAAGGGTTTACAAGTCATTGTTACAAATCAATTTTACCATGGAGAAAATGAATGGAGTTTTTACTTCCAGAACCTGACTAAGCACTCTATACGCCACTCACTACTTTTTACTGCCTTCATTTTTTTCTTTTACTTTTGAATCTACTATTATTAAAAAACACCGCAAAATTATTATATATGTTCTTTAAAGTCTTCAAAATAACGTTCATAAAGTTTAAAATGACTTCCCCTCCCCCTTGCAACGACATCTCTTCTCTGATGATGCGTTTACTGGTGCAAGTGCGGGACAACCAGTCACTTACATGAGATCCGCCAATAGCAGACCACAACCATCCAACCAACTCCCCATGGACAAAATCAAGTACCGTCCTAGATTTTTTTCTTGCTTGACAAATCGTTTCAGTCAGATATACGTCACAACAGAGAAAAAATAGCTAGCGCAACTTCCATTTCATGCTGACTTTAATAATACTAAACATCTCTGAACTTAACAGCTCAGCACAGCATCATATCTTCTCCTGGTGGTATTGAACAGAATGCTGGTGGTGATGTAATTACCTTAGACACCAGTATGGAGACTACAGCCACCGCCATTCTTTGCACCGTCTGATCTCCGTGATTCCCCAGCAACATCATTATCAGCTTAGCAGCTTCGTATCTATCCGGGAACAGGGGTCAAGACTAAGTTAAGCCACATCGACAACAAGCTGAAGTGCGCTGAGGAAATGTGTATGGACTGACCTGTCAAATGGGACAACCTGTAAGATATGGTCACTGCAAAGGGTAAGCAGGCAATTCTTCTGCAACTAAAAGCAGACAAAAATTAGACATTGATAGTCAATAAAGGGTGAATCTTACAAAAATTGCCAAGAATAATCTTAGGTCATATTTAATGGCAGAATATAAATAAAGAAATAAAAAAATTATATTTTACTGATTCCAAAAATATATTACATATACATGATTTAAAATGTATTTATACGTCATCATGGTAGTAAATGTTGTACTTGCTTAAAGGTGCAGTGTGTAGATTTTAGCGACATCTAGCGGTTCGGATGCAAATTGCAACCAACGGCTCAGCCCACCGCTCACCCCTCCCTTTTAAAGAAGCTACGGTGGCCAAAACAGGACAAACATGTCGCCGTCTGAGACACAAGAGAGTAGCCAGTCAAGCAACGAGGTTTTCTTTTCTTTGCCAACGAAGATTGACGCTCTGTCGGCTCTTGTGCAAAATAATACGTGTGGTCCTCCATTTGTTCAAAATTTACTACTAACGTTACTTCTACTACTACTACTACTACTTCGTGCTAATTCAACATAGTGACGGTGCAAGTTGCCTCTAAAAACACCAAAGAAGAAGAAAAACAAAAAAGAAGAAAAACAACAGTGACGAAACGCGTTCTGTAGAGAAGTTTGTCCGTTTAGGGCTACTGTAGAAACATGGCGGCACAAAATAGCAACTTTTTTTTTTTTATATACTTTTGCCTATGCCAGTTTAAAACACAGAGGAGAAGCAACTATAAAAGTAATCCATTATGTAGGTTATAAAAACTGTGGCGCTGTTAAAACCACGCTCTGTTTGACTAGGCTGAAACTGTCTGCAACATTGGCTCAATCAATGGCTTGGGCAGGACTGCAGACGGGAAGGGGGCTTTTGGGGAAAACCAGTTCGAAAAACTGGAAGACCAGCTCGAACCAACTAAGACCAGCTTAAGCCAGCTAAGACAAGCAAATCAGAACCGGTGATTCATGGCACTTTTTCTCAGCAGGGCCAAAAGGGCCTGTGGGCAACATTGACCCCCAATGCATGGATGGATACAATACTATCTGGGTGGGTATCATACAAACCGTTGGATGATGGATAAGATGAATATCGAATGCAGCCTGAGTGTGTTTATACCTGCTCGTGGTTTGGGAAGTTCTTCATGGCTGTGAGAAGCTGTTGAACTACAGTTCCCGCCAGGTGTAAGGACATTCCCAGCACCAGCTCCTGTACGGTCAGGTTAAACACGCATGCAGTGGCCACAAGCTGAACATGGAGAGAATCGGTGTGGTGTTGCATTCCAGCCAATACCAGCTGCAACAGGAAGAGCCACATGTACATCGGCTGTAAATGCCATTTAGCACACTAGAAAAATTAGTTTTTAAACATGAGTCAAGATCCTTTACAGTAAAGGGAGGTTTTAAGGGATTGTTTCTTTTATTAAGCTATGATATCATTATATAATTTCTGCCATCTTAAAAAACTGCCCTTACACTCGTTTAAAAATTAAAATAAAAAAATTAAATGTATGCATAACAATGACTTTTCTATGACACACCTCTTCTATGATGACGTAAATGATCTATATTCTATAGCATTCTATGATTATACAGAAAATTAATTTCTGAAGAAAAAAACAATTCAGAAGCATAAAGTAAAAAATCTCACGGAGATACAACTCTCCTGACATCATCGTAAAACTAATCCATATGAATTGAGTGGTTTAGTCAAAATCTTCTGAAGAGACAATCTTCTAAAAAATTCAATCCGTACATCATATAAAGCGATTGAATCTCTTCAGAAAATTTGGAGTAAATTGCTCGATTCATATGGATTAGTTTACGATCTCTTTATGAATTTTTCGGAACGTCAAAATGGTATTTGCTTGGACTGTCAATGGAGGAACAAAAATATCTCCATTTGTTTTTCAAAGATGAACAAAAGACCTACAGGTTTGGAACGACACGAGGGTGAGTAAATGATGACAGAATTTACATTTTTTGGGTGCATTATCCCTTTAAAATCTCAATTTGAACTTTTTATAACAAGGCAAGGTTGGTTCAGGCTGTAAAATGTGATATGGTGCGATTCCTCAAAACTTAAAAAGGATATTTATGAAACTTATTTACTGATCCTGGTAAGAAACCAGCTTAACATATTTTGTTCACAAATACAGATGATGAGACAACAGAAGAACTGCTAAAGAAGAATTGTTTGTACCTTTAATATGTTTGGCTGAGGTCCTTCCATGTTGTTGGTGTGACTGTAAAGATGTGTAAGAACCTCCCGCATGAAACTCTCTCGGTCGCTGTATCTCCTCAAGGCTTCACACAGTTGGGTCAAATTGGACTCTCCAGCCACCTGGATGTGTTCACACATATCTTATCTTCTAAGAATTTGCAGGTCCTGCCAAAATCTGCTATTAATTCTGATTTTTACATTATGTATTATTTGTCACATGCTCAATGAGATGGCAGTCAAATGTAATTTTCTGCAAGCTATCATGTTGTTTCTAGTCTCTCATAGACAAACCTTTGAATAGCAGCATAAAGTCTGGCCCACTTTGCTGCTTATTCTGGTCAGGAACTGTCAGGAATTATTGATGTGCCGTTCAGACTCCGGCTAAAACTAACAGTAACGCTAGAGGATCATGTGAGCTTCACTGTCTGCTCTCCTATCAACAGCTGCCGCATCATGCCACTGACTGCATATTAGATTAAAGGGGTCTTGAATTGCATTTTTGTTTTATTTTATGTTTCCAGATGTGCTGAATTCAAACGTGATGGACGATTTCAAGTTAACTAAGGATGAGGAAGTACCGATGTGCATTTTTAGCGATCGAAATAAGCCTGTTGAAAGTATGACGTGAAACAGTGTGTATTGTCAAAAATAAAATGTAATGGAACACCAGCGTTTTCATATTTTTATAACGTCCACTGTGCGCTTGAATTAATGATCTCATGCCAGGCTTTTGTCTTGTCCGCAAGAGTGACTGTTTATTGCGGCAGGCTTGGCTGTTTCCTCCCATCTTTCAAAAGAATAGCTTTTTTTTGTCCTTGGTCCGTGTTGGTTTAGATTTCTTGTTTTCGGTACAGTAAAGTATTTTACTACATTTTGTGTTGTGTACTTTGGTTTTGTTATTTATTTGTGGATTAAAGTTTATGTTGAACGTTTTTGTGGCAAGCAGGGCGAGGCTGAGAGCCTTGGGAACGGAGCGGGATTTCAATAAAAGCTGTTTTGGACTAACAAGCAAGTTTTTTTCAATTATAAAATTACCTCTTATATGTCAAACGATCAAGGGAAATTCAATTTCTCAATTCCCCTTTAAGATTTTTTTAGTCAGTCAATGCTACGTTTACATGCAACCAAACAATCCGTTAGTAATCGGATTGACGGCTCAATCGGACTGAAAAAACTTCATATAAACACCTTAATCGATCCGATCGAGCTCGATCCGAATGAAGCTTGTGACATAAACGCGCACATCAATCCGATCACTTTATTTAGTGTTCATGTAAACACAACGTTCGGATTCATTAATCGGAATGAATTCAGTCCGATTGAAACAAAAGGTGTGCATGTAAACATAGTCAGTGTGAACAAAGACACCTTAGCTTCTTAGACACCTTAGACACCTTACCTTCAGGTGTCCATCTCCACACAGCAGCTCAGAGCCACCTGCACCCGTGGCCAGCAGCCCAATGAACCTCATCCCAGGCCGCACCTCCACAAAGGCTTGGACGGTAGCATCGCTTACACCTCTCCAGCCCGACACATCCAGGGACACAAGATGCAGAAGGATCCCTGGGCGCTCGAGCAGTTGCTGCACTAAGTTGTCTCCATCCATTACCAGCTTGTCATTAGAGATGTCCAGGTGCCTCAGCAACTGCAGCTTGGAGAGCACTAAGATGAGGCTGGAGGTCGGCATCTCTAACTTCTGAAGCCCATGCGTAGTTAGAGACCTTAGCCGAGACTCACAGTTCAACAGAGGTCTTAGATCTGTGATGTTAGTACCAGAGATATCCAAGCTCTCCAGCATGGGCATTGTGCAGATATCCTCCAGACCTCTGTCCTCCAGGTCCGTCCAGGCCAGAGAGAGCTTCTTTAAGCCCCGCAGCGTGCTGAAGGAGGCCTGCAGGGACTCCTCACCTGCTTCCCCATACAGATGCAGGCCATTCATCAGCAGTGTCTGAAGGCCCTGTCTGCACGCTTTGCTGGAGGAAATGCTGTGGAGAATATCTGAGATTGTGAGGTCACTGTGTATATGTGAAGCATTCAGTTCTTGAAGCTTGTGAGGGCAGAGAGCCCGTCTGAAGGCCTCGGCCGAGAGGTGCGAGGACTGGATGTGCGCTCGCCGCAGACGCAGGTGCTCCAGGTTCTGGAAAATGCCGACGGTTCTGTCGTTGAGGACCCCTGAGTGGAGCAGGAGAACAGATCACAACATCATGACACAGATCTACATACACAGATCTTTGTTCACTTGATAAACTGTGAATTAATTAAGTGAATAATTTATATGTATATATTCATTTTATAACTGATTTGTATAACTTTTTATAATCTTTATTTGTTTAAATTTTATAACTGAAATATTTGGACATTTAACACTTAATTTAACACATCTGTCCAAACTTTGTTTCATTATCTTCCTGTTATCTCTGTAAAGCTGCTTTGAGACAATCTGTATGTAAAAAGCGCAATAGAAATAAAGGTGACTTGACACACAGTATACACTACCAGTCAAAAGTTTTGGATCGGTAAGATTTTTTAATGTATTCAAAAGAAGTCTCTCATGTGCTCACCGAGGCTGCATTTATTTAATAAAAAATAAAAAATAAAACAGTAATATTGTGAAATATTATAACAAATTTAAACAGCTGTTTTCTATGTGAATATATAGTAAAGTTTAATTTATTCATATGATCAAAGCTGAATTTTCAGCATCATTCTCCAGTCTTCAGTGTCACATGATCCTTCAGAAATCACTCTAATATGATGATTTGATGCTCAGGAAACATTTCTCATTATTATACAGTACATTTGAATATTGTTCCTTTGTGTACAAAATGTTCCTTTTGTGTTTAAAAAAGAAGAAGCAAGTGGTCACTTTATTAAAACACATTTTTCCCTATAATATATATATATATATATATATATATATCACACATATCATCAAATAAAATATAATAAAATATTGAGATTTTTGGAAAAATATTGAATTGCTAGCTACCCTCATGAGCCATCGTGTGCAGCAGCTGATCAGCCAACTCTTGAGGAAATAAAGGACAGTGGCGGAGCTGCAGCGATCCATTGTCTTGTTCAACACAAAGCACTTCCACGTTGTGACACAGCCAGGCCAAACTAATGTCAGTCAGGGACGAGGGACTCTCTTCATCCTGAAACAAAAATACCACCGTATAATTCTTGTTAGAGTTATGAATTCTTGTTAGAATTATCTAATGAAGTAGATGGTTACATATGAGTTTAATGAATCATATAAAACCATCAGTAAAATATTTTATTATGCAATGCAAATTTAGAAACATTTGTCATGTCTACTTTTGAGGAAATTGTATTCAAACCATTACCATGTTAAACAAGTATTTAAATGTGTTTATAAACTGACAGGACAAGATGAACACAATCTAATCAAATTTGGTGTCTGTTAAAAAATTATCTGTGAAACTGAATTATGATGAATACAAGTGTTTTTGTGTCTATTTGTAAATGTTTTTAGATTTTTTGAGTAAAAAATACTGCTTTTTTCTTTTGAAGTGAGAAGTTAGACCATTGTGGTAAGATCCAGGGTGGCATGTTGTTAATATTGTAAGTATTTTTTAAATTTAATACTGTAATTCATGGGGTTATTACTCTACTTTGCTATTCATTAAAACCTATCTAATTGAGTGAAATCATTCAATTTGAATTCACAATGTTGTTAAGACATGGCTTTGATTGATTTATGGGCCGTTACAAATATTTATATAAATACCTGTAAATAAGTCATATAATAAACTTACCTTTCCGATTAATCTATTTTACTGGGATTCTGCGTTGTCTGTTATTGTTTATTCAATTAAATTGTCAGTTTCAACTGAATTTTACAATATCCACAACAAAATGTTTATAGATAATTTGATGTGTTCTTTGATGCAGTCAAATGATAAAATGACATGCATGATATCAAATACATGGTATGTGTATGTCAACTAACTATTTGCAGATATGATGATTAGGGTATTTGGCACTTTTAAGTTGTTTTTTTAACTGTGTACAGTTTACAAAAAATATAAAACGCTGTAAAAAAAAAACTTAAAAGATTACACGTAAAAAATGCACGAAATATTCACTCTTTTTTATTTGAGAATTATAATAACTTACCCAGATAACACTTAAGGCTCATACTACAATTTTGTTGTTGTTGTTGTTTTTGTAGTTGAGATAGAAAGAGATAGTTTAGTTAGTGAGCAGTAAATAGAGTAACTCACCATTATAGTGTGCTGCTGCAACAGGTGCCAATGTTCAGTTAGCTTCTCTAGTCTAATGCATATGGGCCTAGATTTCTCTCTGTACAGGACTAATCTTATTACTGCAGCTAACGTCGAGCTCTTAAAGAGAAACTACTCTTGGAAGAGGAACACAGTATCTACTGTTGGTCCAGTTTGCGTACAGGTGCGTTTTCCATACAGCGCAACGGTCGCTTTCAGTTTGTTTGTCATTAAAAACTAACGAGCAACGTGAAATAATCTTGCACGCCGTGGTGGGCGTGTCTTCAGTGACGTCGGATTATTGTGGTGGGCGTGTCTTCAGTGACAGACGACCTTAGCACAGACTTTTGATTGGTTGCTTGTTAAACGTCGTCAAAACAGCACTTCGTAAGGACAGCAGGCAAAATGAATGGACAACCGTAATGTGGTTGCTTAAAACTTTTAAAAATATATTTATTTTTGCTTGTAGGCTACGTTACAAAATTTTACCATATCATAATTCCTACAAAATACTATGGTTACTTACAACAGTGTTAGAAAACTACAGAACAAAAGGCACATTTTAAAAAGGGATTAATCGCCCTGGTGGAATAATAAAAATATGCAAAATTTACTTGCAGTCAGACTAGTTATCAGTATAATTCAAGTGTGTTAATGGTTAGTTAACTTGAAGTGTGCATTTTGAAACAACTAATTTTGTACTAGTTGTAATTAAATTGTAGTAGCCTAAAGCATAACTAATTACATGCTTGATTAGTGATATAAAAGTGTACTTTATTTGTGTTACAAAACATTACAAATGTATTACGAGTGTTTTCGAAACATACAAGCAATATACCATAAGTGTAGTATATTTGAGTAAAAAGTATGCTCAATAATACCTTTGGCTTATTCGAAATACTACAAATGGCACACTTTGTCTTCAATAACAAATCCACATTAATAAACAAATATTACTTAGCTATACTTTGTACAATATACTATTATACTATAACGTATTTTGAAAGTATACTTTCAATGCATTGTTAAAATGATCATTTTCAGCACACAGTTAAAAATATAGCATACCTAAAAATATATTTTAAAGTAAAGTGCAAATGAATGCACTTTTAAAAAATAAACTGAATTTTCACTTTAAGTATATTTTTCTAAAATATACTAACGTACAATTATTTTAAAGTGTGTTAAAAGTTGTATTGTGAAAATAGGTAAAAGCATGATGCTAATAATTGTAATATATTTAAAGATAGAAAAAAAGTACTATTGAAAAAGGGAATATATTTCAAATACAATAAAGTATACTTTTTTCACTAGGGTCTCCAATGTCATAAAAAATTATATTAAAAGAATAATATTTTAAAACCTCTTGGATTTCCTACATTCATTCATTATGAATTTATGGAAGAAACAACAACACACACACACACATTTCATTGTAGTATAAACTCTCAAGTATCTATCCGTGTCAGGGAATGTAGATATAAATGCATAATTTAAGCTGTTGTTTGTTTTCAGGTCATCACATTCTGTCCCAGTGTTTCTGTATAGACTTGGAATGTTTATAAAATTCTGGAGCTTTGTTTGCATCTTCTTCTGTTATGCACTTGTGTCAGATTGAGTTGTGTATAGTGTATTTTTAATTATCAGAACAATTTCCTTTGCTGGCTCTGCATCAATCCTAAAACTATGATTTGAGGAATGAAATAAATGGTAAAAAGTATTCTTAAACATACAATTGGTCCCCTCACTTTTGGGTAAGTGTATTCAATAATGGACCATTTATTCCACTTACATCACAAACCACAAAAAGATACTAATCATACAGTGATTCCAAAAGTGTTTTAAAAACAGCAATGCTGCCAAAATAAAGTGTATCTAAGGCATAAGACGCCCAGTATTGTATTTAGGTTTAGGATCCTTGAGCAATATCAGTAGAGAGCAAGTCACATGCTTTCCTAACAAAGGACCTCTACTTACGTCAGAATGAACCACAAACAAAGCCCCCGTACAGTTATTTTACCCTAAATAATTTGTATTGGAATAACTTGTTCTCATTTAAAGACTATGACCTGTGCTAGAGACATTACTTTATCAAACACACTACAAACGCACATCCCATCTCAGAATGCAGCTTGCTCTTGGAGCAGATGTAAAAAAAAAAAATCATATCTCAGTTCTGTGTATTTGCTGAAAAGTTTAAATTGCTGGCTGTGATGAGGTTCAGGGTTGGAAGGAAGAAGACAGGTCGGCATGACGGGGACTGGTACGTTTTTATTAGGATAACTTCAAAATAACAACAAACAAAAGCGCATTCACCGTAGACTCGCTACAGCACAGACAGTAGTTCACAAAACGGGCTCTGTCCCTCTGTCCAGCAGGTTATCTCATGATACTCTTTCCCCAGCGATATTGTACGAGTCCTCAGTCCTTCTCTCTCTTCCGTTCTCTTTCCAGAGCGGCTTATATCCGGTCTCTCCACACCAATTACTGCAACAAGACACAGGTGTTCGTCATCTGCACTTGACCTACTGCTCGTCTCCTTTCTCTCTCTCCCGTTACAGACTTTGCTGAACCACGCCCCCCTTGCCACATACCCCCACCGCCCGACTCAGGCCGGGGAGCCATCCGGCCTGCAGACACCGCTCGTCTCTCTCTTCGAGAGCTTACGACTGATGTACAGCACCAGCCAGTCCTCACCCTCTATCTTCTGGGACAGGACCGCTCCAAGCCCCCTGTCCGATGCGTCCGTCTGTAACAAAAAGGGGAGAGAAAAGACAGGGGAATGTAAGAGCGGTCCGCCACACAGAGCAGCCTTTATCTGGGTGAAAGCCTGCTGGCACTGCTCCGTCCACTGGACCGGGTCTGGTGCTTCCTTTTTAGTGAGGTCGGTCAGCGGGCTGGTGAGGTCCGAATAATTAGGTAAACCTTCAAGTCACCTTCGTTTATATAGATTGTTTCAAAGCAGCTTTACAGTGATGATATTAAATTAAAGTAACAGAGATTGTTTTGGCTTTACAGCAGCTCTAGAATAGAGTTATTATAGCTAAAGTTAGTTTTGATTGATTCACTTCCGTCACAATGATCATTAGTTATTAACTTAGGGGCCGCTAACACGACACCGTTCTAACAGAAAACTCTTAATGCGATCCAGCCGCTCATTTGCACAAAACAGTGCCTGGTGGCTCAAGAACGTAGGCCATGAAATAGGTTCCAAGGTACAAGTCTTGAAAAATCTATAATACAGAATTTTTTATCGCTTCTGCGTAGCCACGTGAACCGGAATTATCCTGACAACGATTTATCTGTACAGAGGTAAAGGGAAGGAGGCCTTCACAGGGAGAGACTAGTTCACATTTCAGGACTGTGTTGTCGTTGCGTCCAGGCGCAGGTGGATCTGGATACGGCGGACTGCGGTAAACCTCGGGATAAACAGGCCCAACCGGACACTTCTTCGGGTTGGCCGTTAGTCCAGCCCCTCTCAGCGAACTCAGGACAGCCCGCAAGTGCTGCATATGATGCTGCCAGTCATTGCTATAGATGATAATGTCATCCAGATAGGCCGCAGCATATGCAGCATGCGGACGGAGAATTTTGTCCATGAGACGCTGAAAAGTGTCCGGAGCCCCGAACAACCCGAAAGGAAGAGTGACAATTTGGTGTAATCCAAACGCCGTTGTGAAAGCTGTCTTTTCTTTGGATATAGGAGATCTGCCAATACCCTTTCGTTAAATCCAGCGTCAAATAAAATCGAGTATTACCCAGGTGATCAAGCAATTCGTCAACCGGCGGCATTGGAAATGCATCGGATTTCAATACAGTGTTCACCTTGCAATAATCCACGCAGAACCGAACCGTCCGTTTTAAGCCCCGTTCACACTACAAGCGACTTTGTCGCTGCATGTCGCCAGTGGCTGGCGATGAGGTCGCTAGTGGGAGTTCCCACTACTGGTTGCCTTTATGAATGACATCCAATGATGTGGAGAAGGATCATACGCGCTCCGCTCCTATTGGTTGTCGCTCTCGAAAGTCGCTCCTCATTTGCATAAAGTTAAACAGATCTCAACTTTGTCGCGTCGCCAGGAAATCGCCAGCTCCCCATTTAAATGAATGGTATCGCGTCGCTTGGTCGCGTGTAGTGTGAACGGGGCTTAAGGCACCAAAACTATCGGGCTCGCCCAATCACTGCTGGATTCCTCTATTACTCCCATGTCTAGCATCGCCTCTAATTCGCTCTGAATTACCTTTTTTTTGTGTTCAGGCAAGCGATGTGGCCGGCTGCGCACTACCACGCCCGGCTCAGTCTCAATGTGGTGCTGGATAAGGTCTGTTCGACCAGGCAGGGATGAGAACACATCAGCAAATTCTGCTTGTAAATTGGCCACATCAGTGAGCTGGGAGGGTGTGAGGTGATCTCCTCCTGGGGCCAGCGCGAGAGATTGCCTTTTTATGTTCGCTTCTGGCCCGAGATCCTCCTCTCCGCTCACCACCGTCGCCAGCATCACTGACTCCCTCCACTGTTTAAGGAGGTTGAGATGGTAAATCTGATGTTACTCGTTCCTGTCTGTTCGTATTACCTCAAAATTAAGATCCCAGTCTCGCCGTGTGACCTCAAAGGGTCCATGCCACTTCGCGAGTAATTTAGAGCTAGAAGTTGGGAGCAATACAAGCACTTTATCTCCCAGTGCAAATTCACGTAGTCTAGTTCCCCTGTTGTTTGTCCTGAGCCTGTAACAAATTCTCCATAGAGAGCCACCCCAAAGTGTGGAGTTTTGTTCTCAGGTCCAGTACATATTGAATTTTGTTCTTACTGTTCGAAGGTCCCTCCTCCCAAGTCTCTCTAGCACCACATGGGGTTGACGCCCATAGAGAAGCTTGAAAGGAAAAAAGTGGACCGTAGACTCGCTACAGCACAGACAGTAGTTCACAAAACGGGCTCTATCCAGCAGGTTATCTCACGATACTCTTTCCCCAGCGATCTTGTACGAGTCCTCAGTCCTTCTCTCTATTCCGTTCTCTTTCCAGAGCGGCTTATATCCGGTCTCTCCACACCAATTACTGCAACAAGACACAGGTGTTCGTCATCTGCACTTGACCTACTGCTCGTCTCCTTTCTCTCTCTCCCATTACAGACTTCGCTGAACCACACCCCCCTTGCCACACTGGCATTTTAAGGAAATATTAATACATATCGATGCTTGTTTTCTAATTTGTTCAGCATAATAACTGCAGCTCATCTCAATTTGCACAGGTAAACTAAGCAGCAGATTTTGTGCCCTATTATCAGTGTCATTCCATATCAATTAGAAAATAAACCAGAAGTCCAAACATCATTTTGGAACTTCACTAATTAAAAAATAAAGCAGAGTACTGGCAACTCTCCTATGATCCTGTAAAATAACTCAATTTAACCATGTCATCTGTTAACTGTGAGTTTGTGATGGACAGGGAAACACTATAGGGATTTCACTAAACGAGATAATTAACAAGACACAGGTGTAATATCAGAAACCATGGCAACTAATGAACAAAGAAAACATGAAATAAGGGTACGTTTATACGACAATGATATGCTTAAAACAGAGAGGTTTTTCCTTTGAGTTTTCGCGTACAGACAAAACGATCTTCATTTACAAGAATCCGTAAAACCGACTAAAAATGCTGTATTCTGCTGCCAGGCCATTATATGGCGATGAAACACTATAGACTGAACACGTAATACGCATGTACATGACGTCATCGTTTTCAGAGATTCACATTTGTAATTTAACGGCCAAAACCCATAAAAAGTTGTATGTTTTTAGTTGAAAATGGTGTCGTGTAAACAGCCCCCGAAGGGGCAAACTTGCAAACTTTTGAAAACAGGGTTCAAAGTGCAAGTTAAAAAATAATTAAATAATACCATTATTGTCTCTGTGTAAACATCAATGTGTGTTTCTCAAACGGAAGGCTGCATATCTCGGCGGCCACGTCATCAAACGTCGCTGAAGGCCGTCTCAATTTGAAGGATCCTTGGAAGGCCGCCTTCGTTTCGCCTCCTTCTTTCGGCCTGTTTTGAAGGATGCATCGGATGTATCCTTTGTGGTTTTAAATCACCCACAATCCTTTGCACACATTTTAATACACAAAAATAAACTGACGGAAAAGAAGTCGGTACTGAGCTTGTCTGAGTTTATTATGAAATGTAAGACAAAAAATGTTCAGACATAAAAGTATAGATGTTATCTTTTGTTTTGGTGTAATCACTTAAAGCGTTTTTAGGATCCGTGTGAATCCCATCCGGGATTGTTTTGACAACGTTGTTGTCTCTACTCGAAAAACGCAAACTTTTCCGTCGTGTAAACCTAACACTGGAACCTGAAAATAATGCAAAACCAAACAAGAACTCATCTCAAACAAAAACTCAAACCCAGATCAAACGTAACATTAATAAACAGTTATAGTAACATTATAGATTTACTGCAGTTGTGCTCGATCGCTTGGAGAGTTGGTTTTGATTATGTTTGATCTACAGCCCTTTTCTTTTTTTGTGAGTAATAAATTGCTTCCTGTGAACAGAGGAATTACATTCCAGAGAAAGAAGTTTTAAATTGCTCAGAACCAGAGAAAAGGAAAGTTTTGCAAAAAACAAACAAACAAAAAAGCGTAAGAATGATTACATGAATTGAATCAGCTCAGATCATTGTCAGAAAATAGTGGAGACAATCCCACTGACTGGGGTTGTCACAGTGAAATCCTGTTGTTTATTGACATTGACTTTGCAGTAAAATCCACACAGTGAAACAATTATGAAACACAAAATATTTAATGAAAGTGTCCCTATTATGCTTTTTCGAATATTACCTTTCATGCCGTGTGTAATAAAGCTGTTTGTGAATGTCAAATATCTGCAAAGTTTTAAAGATTAAAGTGCACGATAAATAAAGTTTTTGTCTCCTAAAAGAAAGAATCGATTCTGAACTGCCGAAATGAGTCGTCAGGAGTTCCAGTCTCCTTTCCTGTCACAAACCTATACGTAACAATGTAACAAATTTGCATAATGCCAGTCTATGGTCTTCACTGGCTGCCCTCGAACAACTTTGACCCTCAAACACTGTATTTGTAGCTGAGACTGGAAGAGTTTGGTTTGAGTTGCCGACATGTCAAGAAGCCGTTTTCAGCGCTGCAATCAACTTTCATGCATTTCCAAAGGATGAGGACTTTATACGTCCGATAAAACCGACGGCATCATTACTGTTCGTATCACTGTATATAAAGCGCTGAGGAAGAGCTGAAATTCAGATATGGCAATAGTCCTTTTGTTTTCGACTCGTGGTCGACCAATCATAACAGAGACTGGGCCATCTGACCAATCAGAGCAGGCTGGCAGAAAGGAGGGATTTAGAGAAACTGAATCTTTTATCGAACCGTTTCAGACACTGTGAGAAAAAAAGGTGATGATGCAGAATTATGGATTCATGTAAAGCAATTTTAGGAGACCTCCAAAACAAAATGATGAGCCTTTAGAATAGCATTCTAGGGGCACTTTAATGAAACAGCTAAAACATGTCAAACAAATTCAAAATATTTTTTTAATCAACTATTTACAGCACAGAAACCACAAATCATTAAAAATCAACATTGAACCACAGCAAGAGAAAACTTTGCACTGTTTAACTGAGGTTTGCTCTTAAAACCAACCAAATGCAGTGCACTGGAAGCCATAGCACATAATAAATGATTCATATTCTCTAATCTTTGTTTGCTAACAGAGACAGAATGAAGTTGTGATGCTGGAAACACAATGGCCATGGCTCTGTATACGCACATCTTGATCTTGGCATAGTTTTTCCTAACATAAACGACCAGAAATAGACACTGTATCTCTTGTGGAAAAGTGCAATGTGATCTGGCCACAAGCAAATTATATTTTGTTCTATTTTAAGTGGATTGTTTGTATTAGACACCAAGAGATCTGACTATTTGAAAAGGATATGAAATGGAAATGTTTATTGTTTCAGTGACGTGTTTGGAAATTGTGTTGTCAGTGGACAGAAAACCAGTATACAGCACATATTATATAAACATCTATTCTGACTTCTCAATATGTCAAGATGTTTATTAACATGAATTGCCACATTACTGAAAATGGGAGTTTATGAGCAATCACATTCCAAACATAACAAAATGTCTTTACTTGATTCTATAGAGCGGGTCAACTTTTGTTTGTGATGAATTAACTGTAAATTAAAACAAGCGGTTGAAACAATATTGGTTTGGTCTGAATGATAGAGATGCCAATTATGTATTTCTGCCCAGAGACTATTCCATACAGAATAGACACAGATCTCAAAATTAACAAATATTTATTTGTATATATTATTATTGTCATTGTTGTAACACTTGCAAAGAGCAATAAAGAACAGAAAACTGGCAAGTTGTGAGGCAAATTCATATATTATCAATATCTGAAGCAGTACCTCATATGTAGGCCTATGGCAGACCTTGCAAATCTGTTATATTAAAACTTTATGTAAAGTTATATTAAATGCACAACACTATGCAGTGATTCAGACGAAAAGTGAATAATAAACTAAGACTGTGTTTTTTATGATTTCAATATAGGGTTTGTCAAAAACATGTTAATTTTTGCAATTTTAATCTGTATCATGATAAAATATTGAACGCAATTAACGGGTAGGTGATTTGTTCCAGATTTTTTTTTGTTATGCTGGTTGAAAGTCTCTTCACATCCTGATAGCAATCACTAAGTTAAGTGGTCTAATGTAATCATATGTATATATACAGGTCCTTCTAAAAAAATTAGCATATTGTGATAAAGTTCATTATTTTCCATAATGTAATGATAAAGATTAAACTTTCATATATTTTAGATTCATTGCACACCAACTGAAATATTTCAGGTCTTTTATTGTTTTAATACTGATGATTTTGGCATACAGCTCATGAAAACCCAAAATTCCTGTCTCAAAAAATTTGCATATCATGAAAAGGGTCTCTAAACGAGCTATTAACCTAATCATCTGAATCAACTAATTAACTCTAAACACCTGCATAAGATTCCTGAGGCTTTTAAAAACTCCCAGCCTGTTTCATAACTCAAAACCGCAATCATGGGTAAGACTGCCGACCTGACTGCTGTCCAGAAGGCCATCATTGACACCCTCAAGCAAGAGGGTAAGACAGAAAGAAATTTCTGAACAAATAGGCTGTTCCCAGAGTGCTGTATCAAGGCACCTCAGTGGGAAGTCTGTGGGAAGGAAAAAGTGTGGTAAAAAACGCTGCACAACGAGAAGAGGTGACCGGACCCTGAGGAAGATTGTGGAGAAGGACCGATTCCAGACCTTGGGGGACCTGCGGAAGCAGTGGACTGAGTCTGGAGTAGAAACATCCAGAGCCACCGTGCACAGGCGTGTGCAGGAAATGGGCTACAGGTGCCGCATTCCCCAGGTCAAGCCACTTTTGAACCAGAAATAGCAGCAGAAGCGCCTGACCTGGGCTACAGAGAAGCAGCACTGGACTGTTGCTCAGTTTTGCATGTCATTCGGAAATCAAGGTGCCAGAGTCTGGAGGAAGACTGGGGAGAAGGAAATGCCAAAATGCATGAAGTCCAGTGTCAAGTACCCACAGTCAGTGATGGTCTGGGGTGCCATGTCAGCTGCTGCTGTTGGTGCACTGTGTTTTATCAAGGGCAGGGTCAATGCAGCTAGCTATCAGGAGATTTTGGAGCACTTCATGCTTCCATCTGCTGAAAAGCTTTATGGAAATGAAGATTTCATTTTTCAGCTCGACCTGGCACCTGCTCACAGTGCCAAAACCACTGGTAAATGGTTTACTGACCATGGTATTACTGTGCTCAATTGGCCTGCCAACTCTCCTGACCTGAACCCCATAGAGAATCTGTGGTATATTGTGAGAGAAAGTTGAGAGACGCAAGACCCAACACTCTGGATGAGCTTAAGGCCGCTATCGAAGCATCGTGGGCCTCCATAACACCTCAGCAGTGCCACAGGCTGATTGCCTCCATGCCACGCCGCATTGAAGCAGTCATTTCTGCAAAAGGATTCCCGGCCAAGTATTGACTATTGAGTGCATAACTGAACATAATTATTTGAAGGTTGACTTTTTTTTTTTGTATTAAAAACACTTCTTTTATTGGTCGGATGAAATATGCTAATTTTTTTAGACAGGAATTTTGGGGGAATTTTCATGAGCTGTATGCCAAAATCATCAGTATTAAAACAATAAAAGACCTGAAATATTTCAGTTGGTGTGCAATGAATCTAAAATATATGAAAGTTTAATTTTTATCATTACATTATGGAAAATAATGAACTTTATCACAATATGCTAATTTTTTGAGAAGGACCTGTATATATAAATATTCAGTCCGAATGCAATGATACGATGTCCTCCCTGCCTGTCAACACATGTATTTTTAAACCTCCACGTACCCTGCTCACTTAGACATCACACGTCATCAGCGCATTTCATGCTATGCAGATTTAGACAGACGTCAGTCACCGAGCGCCGCAAACGAACAGCAGCCATCTTTTACAGTATCTCCTGAACCAAACAACCAGCTTATGCTGCGTTCATGCCATAACTACTGTAATCTCGAAGAGATGGAAACCCGTGACGTTATACCCGGAGCGGTTTGTGTCTCATATTTATGTGTTTCAAAGGCAACACTATCAACTTGCAGCAGTCAGGTGGAAGAGGTCAGTGTCCTTTAAGTTGTTTACATTCATTAGTATTGTAATTTAATGTGCTTTGAGACATGAGGTAATTTAACGCTGTCTCTTGTGACGCTTTTGTTTGCTGCCTGCTGTACGTGACTATGTGTTTTGGAGGAGGTGTGGCTTTGGAGACGCTCTGAAGGGAGGGTGGGATCTTAAGCTTTCAAAGCTAACTCGCTATTGCTAGCCTCTCTGAAAATTGCCCACCCAACCTTTAACCCAACGCAGCCTCAATATTCCCTTCCTGGCATGATCAAGCTATCTAGGGTGTCATGCTCACCAGCACCGGGAAGCACTGCATGGCCTTCAAGGGCGTAGATTTGGTTTGAACATTGGGGGGGTTGAAGTTTGGGTATGCCTCCTGATATTGTGATCATGGTATAAATAATGGGGGGGTTGTAATTCATAGATTTAAATATTGGGGGGGGTTATATCCCCCCCATCCCCCCCACAAATTACGCCCCTGATGGCCTTTAATCATTGTACCATGGTAAAAAATATATATATTCTTGAAAAAGCTTTTTTTAATTAAACAACTATTTAAAATATACCGTCTTTATGTTGTTTTGGAGATTCAATGTGAAATTATGTATTATAATATCAAAACCTGTATTTTTTTGTGTCGGGTGTAATTAATAACTAAGTAATCTAATAAGTGTAATTTACTTTCCCTTTGAAAAAGTAAAGTAAGGGACTACTCATAATTTTTCTGTAATTTAATTACAGTTATAGCCTACTTCTGATGTAGAGATTATAGAACAATTATCAAACAAAAATAAAACAATAGGGGATTTAAACATCAAGGTTTTATGTTAAAATAGAAAGTGCCGTTTCTATCATTGTATTGTTCAACTGGTCGAGGTTGATATGGGATTTAGAAAGTAATTAGTAATAAGTATCCAGTATAGAGAATAATTAGTAGCCTACAGTAACCTAATTACAGTGTTTAAGGTGTTTAATTAGTAGCTAGTAATTCATTATTTAACTTTTTTTAGAGTAACTTTCTCATTTTAATGTTGTTTGATCAATCGCGATATATTGTCTTATTTAATAGACTTATTTCATCGTTAATATGTAGCCTTAAATAATCGCACTTAAAATTGGCTTTTTTTATGCTTTCTGTCATCGACTTCCTCGAGATGTTATATCAAAAGCATGCAAAAGCAATTCACATGTCTTCATGTATCTGAAAAGCATGCTGCTTTGCAAGCTCAAACGAACTAGTGTTTGAGTGCACACTGTTTAGGAGTGAAACGTTCACTGTCTCATAGGCTCAAGGCAGACAATGCCAACAGTACACAATGTTCCCTTCCCCGAAGGAACTCCCCCTATGTGCAGACCTTCATAATATTTAGGTTACAAAACCTCATGCCATATTTTATTCATTTAAACAGATTCATTTTTCTTAAAAAAAAATATACATACAATGTCCGTGTGCAGAAAACTCCGACTTTAGACTTTTAACAAGTTAAAGAAAAGTATCAATTGGCACAATGCGATATATGTGCAGGACAAAAACGGACCGTGACATAGTTGCGGGGAAAAGGGGTAATACCTCCGAACATTAACACAACAGTGGCTTTAAATAAGAGCATACAACTAATACTCCGTTTCTAAAATGTATTTCCAGCATTTTGATAAAAGCAATGGCAATTTAAAATGACAACAAAATAATACAAACAACAACACAGCGACATCCTGTATAAAGTGTTCCCTATGCAGATCGATGGTATCGTCCTCAGACACTTACATCGTCCCAAACCTTATAAGAGTTTGATTCACTCCAGACACTCTGTTCATTTGGGTATTTAGATCAATACTTAGCGTTATGAACGTGATGATGGTGTATGTTATTCTGGTACATGACCATAAGCTTTATTGCTAAGTTTTATTTTGAATGACTGGCTGCCAATTTTTTTTTTTTTTTTTTTACAACCGGACACTTGGATTAAGAAGTGGAAAACCTGGCTTTTTTCGGATTTTTAACATTGTTCTGCCGTTGTTTTCTTCGTTATCGTAGATATAAGAATTAGACAAACGTTCACAGTTGTTTGACGGTCCGATTTACAGTATTTAAAGGGCTTAATTCACTTCGCGAACACGATCCATTGTTGAATAAAGGATGTCTGCTGAACCATTTTCCTACATCGAAATGAGTCGTGTCAGCGCAGCAAGCACTGGTTCGTAACTATATTTCTTTATTGTTTTCCTTCTCATCTTTTTATATTTGGTGTGTTTTCTGTTTAAATGACACTGTCTTTGTTCTCGTTCAAACACAATCCCAAGTGTCAAGCGTTAATCTTGGGAACTATAATACAGCCGTATTCATGAAGATAACAATTGTGAAAGTTAGTTAATATTACATAAAAGTGAGTTAGCCCCGTTTCGGGCTTTTTATTCGTTGAGTCTTGCATGTCTCAACATGTCATCGCTGAGTTCATTGAGGTCAGCAGTGCAGGAGTATCGGGCCACGAAACTACCAATCCTACTATGGCGAAGCGGGAGCTCATGAATATTAATTAGGCAATGGTGACGTCGCTTGGTAACAGTCTTTGAGCGTCCAATCACGTAACTTGATTAGTATTCATGAGCCCAGTGCCTTGTTCAACGGTTAGGCAAAGTCTTAATTTAAGCCAATCACAGAGACCCGCTGAATAACGTCACGTCACGGACTGAATGTTCACAGACCGTCACCTCTTCCATAGTGGGATTGTTGAATTCGCGAGCGGGGATCCCAGGGAAATCCCGAGCGCTGTTCTGTCCACAGCTGTCACTTCAGGCACACAGTTCAAGACAGGCGTCTTTACACAGACATGCGGTGTCTTGTTAACAGTATTACTGATAGGTTAATAAGATAATTTAAGTTTCTGTCTGCTGGCCATCTGCTTGTCGTGCTCCGCAAAACCCCCTCATACACGTCTAGATAATTTGCTTTCTTACATTGCTTGTATTGTACTCTATATTTTCTGTCCAATTTGTCACTCGTGTTTGTATTAAAATTGTTATATGTAGTAATGTGAACTGATATTGCCGGAAATGTTATGTTTTCTGCGTAAAATAGATTAAACATTATATGTATCAATTCATTTTACAATCTAATTATTAAATGTCAATATATGTTATATCATTACTTATGTTAAAATATGTAGGAAAAAATTGTCATGGCAGTCATAGACATTATCGATAAATGCATTTATACAAAACAATCTATGTAAAGATCTGTTTATATTATTTTTCAAATAAAATAGGTAAAATAGTGGATTGAGTTTTCTTCATTATCTGAGACCAAAACCTGACAAATTGACAATTTCTTGCTGGAGGTTTTCCTGTAGAAATGGAACTGTTCAATAAAAGGTTGTCTCATATTATGTTTCTTCATCAGTCATCGGTAGCGACGATCATCTACCAGGAGAAACGGAGCCCAGCGATTCATTACAGGAGGCCGGGTGGTACTGGGCTGACATATCAAGGTGAACTATTTAGCCGGAATAAGTCTTAGTATTTCTGTCTTTATCAATTTGTCTGCATATTATTGAATTTATACCACTTGCATTAGGGAGGAGGTGAACGAAATCCTCCACGGCTTGCCTGACGGTGCTTTCCTGGTCCGAAATGCCTCTTGCAGGGTGCAGGGAGAATACACATTAACTGTGAGGTAAGGATTGCATGGTTCAGGATTCCTCTTTTAGGGAAGCAGATTTGTGACTCGACGGGTACTGACAGTGGACAACTAATCATCATTTGCCACTCTCACACATAAAACAGTCTTATGTGTGATTGGTAGCAATACAGACAATAGTTCACAAATCAGTGTCATTACAACTCTGTGATGTGATTTGCTAGTACTTTTAGCATCTGTCTAAAGGTACGTTTACACAACTATGATGTACTGAAAGCGGAAAGGTTTTTCCTTTATGATTTTTGCGTACAGACGACAACGTTGTCAAAACGATCCACGAAAATGACTAAAAACACTGTATTCTGCTAACACTCCCCAGTAGTTGGCGATAAAGACACCGTTCTTGTAGACTGAACCACTGTTTTCACAATTTTTAAAAAAAAAAATCGTATCGTTTTCAGAAACTTTCAAACCTGTTTTCAAAGTTAATTTCTTAAAGGATTAGTTTAAGGATTAAGACAGCAAATTGTCCGATTTGATTGGTTGGGATTTCAACAATGGGCTCTTTTCACACATGACCTCTGGAGAAATGCATTGTGCCATTGAATTTACAGAAAAAAGGCTGTATGTCTGAAAGCACTTCTCTCCACAGGAACAATGGCACCAACAAACTCATCAGGATCCAACACCGAGATGGAAAATTTGGATTCTCGGAGCCTCTGACCTTCAGCTCGGTGCCGGATCTGATATCTTACTACAGGCAAAGGAGCTTAGTCCAGTACAACACTTCCCTGGATGTCACACTGGCTTATCCCGTGTCCCACTGTCACACGGTCGGTATACCTTTCACTGAATTTCATTGTGATCCTAGTTGAAAGGAAACTTTAGTCAGTGTGTTTTTGTGTCAATAAGCAAATGCCTTGTATTGCATGTTCAGGATCTACCTGTGAAGGAAGAGTTTTTGAGCGCAACCAGAGAGAAACTTCAAGAATGTTTAAGACTGTTTCAGAAGACGGCAGAGTATGACCAGCTATATGATGCTTGCAACACTTTATTACAGGTAAGCTTTTCAGGATCAAATATGCGCTGATATAATAGTGTTTGAAAAATGTTAAGGAATGTATGTCAAATACATTGCTTTTCTAAGAAATTTTCCCTGTTGCTTTACAGGAAATCCAAAGGACAAATACTTTAGAGCCCGTCAGTATGACAGAGATCTCAAAAGACCAGTGTTATTCTCAAGAGAACTCTTGCCAGGATTTCCCCGTCTCAGTCCACAGTCATCTGACAAAGTGAGTGCTCATATGCAATACCAGGACTGAAAGAGCACCAGTGTTTCCCTAGCAGTTAAAGGGACCGTTCACACATCGTTTACGTCCTTTACTCAAGTTGGTCCAAACCTGTAGGAATTTCTTTATTCTGTTGAACACAAAAGAAGATATTTTGAGGAATGTCGGTAACCGAACAGTTGATGGACCCCATTGACTTCCACAGTATAGAGCAGGGGTAGGCAAGTTCGGTCCTAGAGAGCCGCTGTCCTGCAGAGTTTGGCTCCAACACTGAAAAAAACCTCTCCTGCCTATAGCCTTAGTAATCCTGAAGACATTGATTAGCTTGTTCAGGTGTGTTTGATTAGGGTTGGAACTAGATTCTGCAGGACAGCAGCTCTCTAGGACCGAACTTGCCTACCCCTGGTATAGAGGAAAAGAAAATACTATGGAAGTCAATGGGGTCCATCAACTGTTCGGTTACCGACATTCCTCAAAATATCTTCTTTTGTGTTCACTTCATCAGTATTTTATTAAAACTATCATAAATACACACAGAAACTCAAGACAACCTGTCAAAATAAATAAAAGTTTGGTTTGATTTGAAGAAATTGTGACAGAAATATTTTACTGATATTAAGATGATGGAACTAATCAAAGTAATAGGGATTTTTTTTTTAATGAATATTAAAAATACATTCTTGTTTTTGGTATAAGTGTTGTGCAGAACTTTGTTTACCTAAAATAAAAGAAAGTGTTAGTTTCGTTTGACTACATTTTAAATGACTAATTAAACTGTTAATGCGTTATGCCTTCATTTGATCACAAAGTGTATTAAATCACAAATACTGAAAAATGAAAACAAGACCACAGAATTTCTGAAAAATAAAACATTTTTATTATTGTAAAAATGTTAATAAATGAATTATGAATTCAATTGATTTAGACATGCTTTTTGATAATTAAACTGAATTGAACCTTAACAGCATAATCCAGAAAATAATGAAACATCTCAACATTTCATTTATTTTGATAAACTTGTAAAGAATTAAGTTTCATTTAATTAGACAATCAGACTATTAAAACAAAATCCATAAAAAAAAAAATTAACTGAAAAATACAAACCGATTTCATAAGTTTCAAGTTTAATACTTGGATTTGGGGTTTTAGACTTTCATTCATCATCATCATCACAACTGAGGATGTTTTTAATGAAACCTGAGAGATTTCTGTTCCTCCATCGCAAGTCCATTCAACCATAAATTTGACGCTTCATAAAGTTAATAAAGAGATCATAAAACTAATCCATATGAATTGAATGGTTTAATCCAAGTCTTTTGAAGAGTGTGCTTTATTTGATGAACGGGTTTAATTTAAGCTTTTATTCCTATATAAACACACACACACACACACACACACACACATTGAGCACTTCAAAAATGGTAAACGGAAGCTGAACTGTACTTCCTGAAGCGGCAACGTTTTGGGTGAATGGCCTTTTAATGGAGGGACCGAATTCTCTCCGGTTTCATTAAAATATATTCATTGTGTTTCGGTTCATGAACTATCCCTTAATGTGTGATACTTGACTTTGCGAACACCAGTTATTATGATTTTTATTGTATTTCTAAATAATCTACACGTCACCACTGATTTGATTAAAAAAATCTTGTATTACTTCAAGTCTCTCAATATTATGGCACCTTTTAAAGCGGTTAAATTTCCCATCTGTATTAACGAAGTGAAAGGCAGCGAGTGGGAACGCGTCTGATGCAATAGATCAGAAAGGTCCGTAGGAGACAAAGGGACAATGGCAGGTAAACAGGAACTGGACTGTAGAGGACGGAGGTGCTCTTGGAGCTGCATGAGGCGTTTCCAGAGCTTTTTGCTTATCAACGAGTGTTTATTTCCTCAGGTCTCCATACGAGGTAAAAGAGGAGCGAGAGGAGAGCGTGGAGCTCCTGGAGGAAGAGCGATGGTTTGTGGGAGATCTCGGGCGAGGTCAGGCGGAGGAGCTTCTCCACGGGAAACCGTCCGGTGCTTTCCTCATCCGAAACAGCAGCTCGAAGGATTGCTACGCCTGCTCTGTGGTGTAAGTCATCCATCTTTGTCCTGTTTGTTTCTTAATTAGCACAAGATAGAAACGTCCCGTAGCTTCGTGTGAATCTGTTGTCTTCAGAGGCCGTAGTCCCGTATAAGGCAGACATTTTACTGTCTGTATAAAGACTGATCCTCATTGGATCTTTTTCTGGCCATGAACGATATAACAAAAGATACATTTTCTGCCCGGTGTTTTACTTAATATTTGCAATCTGGCAATCATGCGCACAAGCTCTTTCTATAATGCTCTGAAACCGGCAAACAAGTAAACTGTAGTTCAGCGATCTCCATTTGAGATATTCTGAACGCGTCAGTCTGTCTGCTAAATCTGCGATCTTCTCTAAATCTTCTCAGTGATGAACTGCAATAAATCCAAACATGGATCTCGACTATTGTTTGCCATTGTGGGCGAATAAATGCACTTATGCAACCTCTGTGTGACCATATAAATGTTGCTTTAATAGAAAAACATTGATGAAATTTGAAATTATAACTATAACTATTAGGAATTTCACCGTTTTTCGTTTTTGAGAGAAGTTTCTTGTTAATAATAATAATAAATCAAGCCGGAACGGTTTAGCAACAAGATCGGTTTGGCCTGATGGTGGAAAAGCAGCTAAAATCATACAGTTTTGGCATGACATGAGGGAGTAAATGATGACAGAAATTTTATTTGTGGGCAAACTATCCCTTTAAGGGTACGTTTACACGACAACGATATGATTAAAACTGAGAAGTTTTTCCTTTGAGTTTTCCGCGTACATACGACACCATTGTCAAAACGATCCCCATTCACACGGATCCGTGAAAACGACTAAAAACGCGGTGTTTGCTGCCAGGCCATTAGATGGCGATGAAACGCTATAGACTGAACACGTAACACGCATGTGCATGACGTCATCGTCTTCAGAGATTCACGTTTTTATAGTTTACGCAGAGACCGTTTTCAAAAACTTGCACTTTGAAGCCCGTTTTCAGAAGTTTGCGTTTTCAGGCGGCCAAACCGCCGTTGTCATGTAAACGAAAAGCACAAGTTTTACGTTTTTAGTTGAAACCGGTGTCGTGTAAAACTGCCCCTAAGTTTTCAAATGAATTGAAATGAATGAATTTTAGAGTTTCTTTTTGTAGACATTTTAATCAGAGATGCTATTAAAACATCAAACAAACATCTTAACACTCAGTCGTTCAAGTCACAAGATAATTAAAGGGATAGTCCACCCAAAAATGAAAATTCTGTCATCATTTACTCACCCTTATGTTGTTCCAAACCTGTATGAGTTTCTTTGTTCTTGACCTTGAAGAAGCATTGCAAAACTAGTCTAATGACTCTTCAGGAAACCTGCTTTTTTGCCTTTATTTATAGTACAATAGAGTGCAGACGGATAAGTAATGGTGTGTTCACACCGAATGCGAATTTAATTATTTGCGCGAGTGGATTACATGCAAAGACGCGAATAGACGCATCATTCGCGCCGGGCGTTGCGAATTGGGCGACGCGTTTGCCGCGAACGTCTTCCGCTCAAGTTGAAAAATTTGAACTCGAGCGAATGTTCAAGCGTCTAACTAGACGGGTATTTGACGCTCTATTCGCGTTCGGTGTGAACACACCATAAGGCTATTAAATCATCGTTCATAGGTTCAACTTTGAAAGTTTTCTAAATGTATCTGCTAGATGAACCTTTGTTTCCAGCTTGACCCGATTCGGGTCCGCTAACCCCGCTCTGCATGTCTTTAACCACAGGGTGGGCAGCCAGGTGAGGCACTGTGTGATTCGCCATACCGAGCGCGGCTACGGATTCGTCGAGCCGTTCGATCTCCACAAGTCTTTGAAGGATCTCGTTCTGCACTACCATCACACCTCGCTGGCACAGCACAACCAGGCTCTGGACGTCCGGCTGGCGTATCCGGTCCACAGCTGAGTCCACTGGCGTCCCGGTGAAGGTTACTGCACTAAGACTGAAGAAGATGTGCCACTCGTTGGCGTTGTCCCTTCATTTTACATTGTGCGAAGGGTGGAACCAACTGTGTATGTATATTGCACTTTCCAAAGCATTCCTCACGGTCATAATGAAACTCCAGTACTTGAACAAGTATTTCGATGAGCCCTTTGTAGACATGTTTACAGATAGTCACAAAAACAACAGAATTTGTAATACGATCACGCTTTTTAAGTGGGGATGAATGCATATAGCCTTTTTATTAAAGTTTTATTAAAACATTTTAAAGTGTATTTTGTGAATGTAACACAGTGGGTGCATTTATTATTGAATGGCAAACTTTTTAAATCTTGCTTTATTGTCTAAAACAAGATGCCTGCGATTCTTTTATTTTATTTTCTTGCACCCAAGCAAGGACGTTCTTGACGCTTGGTTTATTAGACATCCAAAAAATGTTTCAGAAGCGGTTTTTAGTTTATAAATATTGAGCAACACTTTAAGGACAGCTTGAATATTTTGTGCACAATACAAGTATCCATTTTGCACCTGTTAAAAAGTAACAGGAAATGTATTTGTTGAATTTAAGTTCTACTAATGTTTACTTGTTTTTAGGAAAGCCAGGACAGTGTAGTTGTCTTATGGGACACTTCATTGAGTTTGATAAATGAGCGTGTCTATGGTGAACGACACGATGCCAAACTGCTCATACTTGAGATGAACAACTCTCTGTAAAATGATTTTTTTTTGTCATTTGTCAGCAGCAGACGGGGAACATTTACCCTTATTTGCAGAGCTTATTTTTTTGCTACGGTTTTCCCTTGCATGCTTCTTTTAAAAACAAAACAAATAAAAGAACAGATTGTGAATAAATCCAGAGCCCATGTCTGATGTATTTATTAATGAAATGAATTTCTTGTAAATGTGCTGCCGACACGTGAAGTGTAAGCCAGGCCTGAGCTGTCTAAAATATGAAGTTAATAACATTACATAACAGTTTTATGAACATTAAACCCTGTTGTAACAAGTGTGCAGGTACTATAAGTAAACCCTGATTACTGTATCGCTCTGTCCTGTCCCTACGCTGTCATTTAAGGACATTTGTAGATATCCAATCCTATTGTGGCTTATGTTCATAATACATACAGTATAGACTGATTCACTATTACATCACATGAAAATACCCACACACATACTGTCATTTGTACACAATATTCCATTTCTTTTTGAGCAATGCATGCTTTTTTTAATTTAAAATATAACAATAGTTTTGAAATATAGCTGCCAGCATCAATAATGGGGCCGAACCCCTCCATCAGTTCCATGAGTTCATTCAAAAAGTAGCTAAAAAAAGAAAGAAAATGGGAAGAAATATAACCACTTTGGTTTTTAAAGTTAGCGTTCTATACAGGATTGGTGTGGTTATAAAAAATATGTTTTAACAGAACATGTAAAATGGTTCGGGTGAAAATGGTTCTGATTTTGTCAAACTGGATTTATGTAAATACAAACTTTCCTTTGGAAATTCTGTTGCTTAACATTAAGTATCACAGAGAGGGCAGATTTTTGTTCTGATATTAAGATTCAAGGTGAGAATCTTTTAATACAAATAAACCCTTGAATGTACTTGCAGATCAGTAGCAATTTGGACATTAGTCTTATGAGATAGATTCGGACCACAGGGTTCAGTGTTGGGGCCATTATTTTTTAACCTCTATATAAATAATATATGTGATATATTATTCTTTTTGCTGATGACACAAACCTACTATGCTGTGGTGAAAATTTGGAGAAGCTACTGGATACCATGGAAAAGGAAGTGAGTAGGATTTGGTTTGATGAAAATAGACTAACGCTGAATTTGAGTAAAACAAAATGTATAATATTTGGGAACCGACTAACCGATACAGATAAGAAAATAATGATGCTTAAGTTATAAGCGCTTGTGCAAAAATCCTTCTATCTCTGGAACACTAGGTTGCGCTGTGTTCAGATTTTCCCGATCCTGGAAAAATCCACGGATTCGTCATGACCCAAGGACCCATAGACACAGATCATGATTTCTGACAAATTATTCAAAAGTGAAAAAACCCCGTAGGTGGACCCAAAGTTGGTCAGATTGCTATTCATTACCATCACTACAAGAGTGACAATTTTCATAATTTTCCTATGTACCGTTCTTAGGGCTGCCATTGTCTCCCATTCGGGAGTAATAATAATAAAGAAAACCAACAATTACAGTAGGGGCTACAACACCTACAGTGAGATATTGGCATAGTTTTATTTCAGTTAGCCTAATAGCTGTATTGATTAGCATTGAGAGATGATCTTATGGAAAGTACCCTGTATGGTGAAGGGTGTGTGATGATGTGGGGCTATTTTAATTCCAGAGGCCAAGGGAACTTTATCAGGATGCACACTATTCTGGATCCATGAAATAACTGGCCTTTAAAAATAAAAATCTGCCTGTCTCTTTGGGAATTTAACATAGGGGTGTCCTGACTTATGCACCCTATATTTTAAGGAAGAACATTTATTTATTTACGATACATTATTCATTCACAAAGAAAATTGGTGTCCTTAAAGGTTGGAGTTTTCCTAATTCTTTTTAATTAAGGCATTAAGATCAATTTCCAAAAGATGATTTTTTATTCCTCTTTTTAGTCAACTTTAGCATGGGTGTGTTCACTTATTCCTCACTGTATCAAGTAGTGCTGATAGTGACAGCACTGTTTGTAAATGGTGTAGGGGATGATTTGTAGATCATTTATAACATAAATGTGGGAAAATTTAAACAGCACACGATGCTCCACTTTGGCTTCCTTGATTCTTTCTTCGGTTAATAAATTATGAAACATTTTCTAACTCCATTTTCTAAACGGTCTATTGAATGAGGAGTTCTTCAACACAACAGCATCAAGTCTGGAAAGCCACTGGCTGCTAATCATAAACACAGTGGTTTCAAAAAGTTAATAATAGTAATAATTTGTTACATTTATAGCACTTTTCTGTGTCGCATGTACCTGGATGAACTGAACATTTTTTAATCTAAATCTAAAGGACTTATATCTAAAGAAGAGTTTCTTCAAGTTCACACAGGTGTCTCACACACCAAACTATCCATAGACACTTGGGATAATTTGTATGATTTCCTACTTAAATAATACAACGTTTCTCTTCATTTAAATGCATAAGAATGAGTAAACACTGTGCTTTTCACTCTACTAAAGCATAAAAATACCATAATATGTTTGCAAATATTGAGAAAACATGCTGAGTTCACACACTCGTTTCTCTGAAAAACACTTCTACAGCCAGTTATTTGAAATGTGCGTTTCCAGGCTGGAATGTTTGTTATTGTTTTGGTCTGTGATACTGCCTGTTGCCAATTTTCATTGTCTATTGCGCTCGTTCCTGTTGCGTGTCTCAAACTGGCGACCCGTGTCGAGTCCGAGTCCGAGTCCGAGAGTCCGAGGAGGAGGGGGCGAAACCACGATCCGATATCTTGAATTGGACTGCAGCAGTAGGCCTACCTATTACACCACTAGTGTCATTCTTACAGACTGCACCTAATTCATATTTCCTGTAACTATATAGTGATATCTGCTCAGTTATTCTTGCTTTTTTCTTTGAGCAAAACATAGTTCTTTAGTTGGTGCATTTAATTTACTTCTACCTGTAATTATTATAAAACTGCTGTTGAGTCTTATTTATATATGAGGTTTATATAATCTTATCTATGTCCTTCTGTCCCAAATATTTCATTTTACATTAAAATCGACTAAGTGATATCGAACGTTTAATGTACCAAAAGATAAATGCAGATATATTAAAAATGTATTAAAGAGAAATTATTTGCCATGTTCACCAGTGTTTTTTGGTCATCTAAATATGAAATCATTCGGTGGGAAAAAATATGGTCAATAACAAAGAAGTTTTTAATAATGTAAGAGAGGTTTCCTTTAAAATGTTACACAGAATTGACCCTGTTAAGAGTTACTTGAGCATTTCAATTTGGTTATGCAAGACTCGTGTGAATTTTGTGTTGTTGCTAAATAATCTGTGATCCATCTTTTCTTTCAATGTGTAGGCCAATGTTCGAGAATTTTTGGGTTGGATGTCCCTAACTTCATTTCTAGGCTGTTTAGAATATTAATACACATTTATCTGTATGATGTTATATATATATATATATACACTACCGTTCAAAAGTTTGGGGTCGGTACGATTTTAAATACTTTTAAAAGAATTCTCTTCTGCTAACCATGACTGCGCTTATTTGATTAAAAATACAACAAAAATCAGTTATAGTAGTAAATATTATTCCAGTGTAAATCAGCTGTTTTCTGTGTGAATATATAGTAAAGTGTAATTTATTCCTGTGATCAAAGCTGAATTTTCAGCATCACCAGTGTCAGTGTCTTCAGTGTCAAATGATCCTTCACAAATCAGTATAATATGAGGATTTGATGCTCAAGAAACATTTATTATTATTATCAATGTTGAAACAGTTGTTGGTCTGTCAGTTGTACAGTTTTTTTTTTTTTTTTTGGATTCTTTGATGAATAGGAAGTTCAAAAGAACAGCATTTGTTTGAAATATAATCTTTTGTAACATTATAAATGTCTTTACTGTCCTTGATAAATAAAAGTATTGATTTCTTTCCTCCAAAAAATAAAAATAAAATTCTCACTGACCCCAAACTTTTGAACGGTAGTGTGTATATATATATATATATATATATATATATATATATATATATATATATATATATATATATATATATATATATTTACAGATATTGATTCCAAAATAATTTTTTCCTCATACAACTTTTTTACTTGGAAAATATCAAATTCATGTGAAGAAATGGGCTAAAGCTAAGCCAAATTGTGAACATTTTATAAAAGAAATTAAACTAGACTAACGTTACTAGATAATATTAAAAACAAAAAGCAAAAAAGAAACTACGAAGCATTGCGTCACTTTAACTTATTGTAATTTTTTACTCCTGGCATAAATAGTTTTCTCTTATATATTTGTTGCGAGTTGTATATGTTTGTGCAAGTTTTGTATATTTTTCTGTAATAGAAAAGAACGTTACAGTATTTTAAGTTCATGGTCGTGTATCGATTACTTCGGTCTGACAGATTAGTTCTTCTTCAGATTGAACGTCATTCGGCGCATTACCGCCACCAACAGGACTGTTAAAACGGCTGAGAATCTCTATGCTGAGAACACAATAAAAAAGTAATAATTTAAACGAATAAATATAAAAAGGCAA